ATCAGCACGATGATTTCCAGGAAAGACCACGTGGAAGTTGACCTATGTCGACCTATAGTTTTTCCAAGTCGTATGAAAAACAATGGCTGAAACTAGACTTATAATATATATATTTAATATAATCTATGTACCATTTAATATAATGCAATTGTGCACCAGACAGGTCAAGGAGTGAAACAAGGTCAATGTAATATCAGTCGATTGTTCAAATCGAATTTCTATAAATGCAATAAAGTACATGTAATTGTTTATCTGCAACAATTTTCATTTTTTTTTTTCACCGCATAATTAAAATTATTTTTCGCCAAAGGTTGACTGGGAGAGAGTGCTTAATTAAATTTCTGTTTTGCCAAACGTTGACTGGGAGAGAATACTATTATATAGTATTAAATCCGCCTTTTCTACCAGACTTTTTTTTTTTGTAATGTATAATAAATAATAATAAGTAATAAAGAATAAATTAAAAAAAAAGTATCATATCAGCCATTAACTGTTCGCTGCTAAACATAGGTCTCCCCCACAAAAGACGGTATTGCTAGTAGTTGCCACACTTAGCAGATAGGTTTTTTTTTTAATGGATGATAATGGAATGGTTATTCCGCCTGCGTCTGCGCTGTGAGAATAAAAAAAAAGGTAGATTGGTTAGCCCATCGTGTCAAATACTCCTGGAATTGGTTTCCAATGGAATGAGGGAGCATGTGGCGGTCGACCTGCCAGGGTGTATCAATGGGACTAATAGTTTGTATTACTAACAATTCCTTCCCCCCCGCAGGCGGGTTGGCGACCGCAATTATCCTTTGGTGACATTTTAAGAGGGACTCTGCTTTGCGTTCCTCGACCATTAAATTCGGAAAGAAAGAAGTTCTATTCTGTACCAAGACTACACGGCTACATAATAAAAAACATAAAATTTTGTTCTTAACAAAAACATACAGTTATTTTCTTTAGATTACTGCACTATTTTTAGCTCCTGTTGTCTCTTACATCCTTGTGATAAAAAAGATTTGTTAGATGAATTATGTGGTGACATTAAGATGGTGTTAATAAATACGCCTAAACTTTATATGTATAGGTGCCCCATTCTATGCCGTGTGGTGCCGGCATAGAATCAGCCACCCCTTCGTTTTCCGTAAGAGGCGATTAAAGGCACTTAATGATTAAAGGATTGGCAGCAGCGTCTCTCCTAAAACATCACCAAAGCCTGCACCAAAAACTGCGGTTGCCAACCCTCCTACCAAGAGTGGCAACTACTGGCAAAACCCCCTTATGGGGGAGGGCTATGTTCAGCAGTGGACAGTTAATGGATGATTTGATGATGATGATGGTGGTAAATGTATAGTCAGATCCTTTTATAAGTGCATATTTATTGGAAACCAGACGATTGCAAATAACATTTATACGACTTCAGCCGACTTTACAAGTTTATTAACCCCGTGTAGAAATTATTGTGGCGTTGTAAATGTCACTTCAAGGAACGCAATGTGTGGTGTAAGTGATAAAAGGCAGCGGTAATAAAGCACTAACATATTTTTAATAATAAAAAGTACTTTAATGATATCGAGAAATACTACAATACTACATAATTGTGTACTGAACCATGTTGTTTAATTTGAGATTTTAAGAAGTATGTAATTGATAGACCGCGTAGGGTTTCATCAGTAAACAGTAAATTTTGGGTCTAGTTAAGTCGGCCACCCCTAAGCACTCTCATAAAAATCATCTTTTTCAAAATTAGTTATAATAAATATTTTTTTATAACATACGGAGCAAACGAGCATACGGCATCTAATACGGGAACAAATATCGTCTTTATTTTTTAATATATTATATTTTAATTTTAGCCATTACTAGTATACTGCTAGACATAAGTTTCCCCATACATTGCCATAAACAACGGTCCTGCCACCTGCATCCACTTACTTCCTGCAATGCATTTGAGGTTGTCACTCCATCTAGTGGGGGGTCGTCCTACACTGCGTTTGCCCGAACAGGGTCGCCACTCGAGAACCTTATATCATCTTATTACAACTTCATTACATTGATAAGGTAAGATGACCGTGACATTCATGATTTGACCTGCATCATAACTGAAATCCTGTGACTTGTACCATGTAAGGAACTGCATGTAAGGAAAATTTCAGTACGTACTGTGCGGTTTCTGTGTTTTATAATTAGAAGCTAATAAAAGTTGATGCGTGTGTGAAAATGATTTACAGCCGGAGTAATAATCATCTTCTTGTTAATTCTACATTTACAATTAATAATATAAGTACTTTTATATTTTCAAGCATTTTTTAATGATGTAGTTATTATTATTATATAACGCTTTATTGTACCAGAAACATAAAAATATACAATGATAAATAGAAAATTCAAGTGAAATACAATTGCATAAAGTACAGTTTAAAATATATAAATATTTAAAGATACAAAAGGCAGTCTTATCATTAGGTCAATTTCTTACAGATAAACTGTATCTTACTACTCATGTGAAACTTTTTCGGTGTTGTAACAACTTCAAAGGGTATAGAGAGTAGAGTGTCACCGGGATATATTGTTTGACCGTGGTAGATAGTACATTACTGCAGCGGCCATCAACTGAGGCATTGATGGACGAACGTGCAATACGTGAGTCCATCAATGCCTAGTTGTGGCCAAGGCTTGTATAGTACTTTTCTCAAACAACGCGCAGAAATTAAAAATAAAATTTTTCGTTTTTAAATTCAATGACAAATAACGAACAATAATAATTTTTCATGCGCCATAATTTTCTTTGTTTTTTTTTTTTTAAAATAAACAGCTTTCTATTTGCAAGCCAGTTCGAAATTTAAATAAAACCTTTTATTAGTTACCTCCTTGGTAGCCATGTTTCGAAGTAAAAAGTCATTCCATTTTTAAATTACAGGACAGATATGAGTTTACATAGTAATTTATCTGGCCGCAAAACACGACAGATATGGATTTTCATACAACTTTTGCCGGCCGCTACCCGCATGTATCTGGACAGTATGGCAATTTATCTCGAAGAAGATTGTTAAAATAATGTTGTTGAGAAAAAGTTTTTTTATACTACTAAAAATAGGTGACAAACAAGCTGTGTTTCGGTTTAAAGGGTGGGATGTGGCGTGAATTTACAGGGTACAGAGGAATAACACCTGAGTCCTCAGGAATGGCAACACATGGGGGGGGGGGGTATCGTGGACGAAACAGTATACTCTGTTATGTCCATGGTACTGCTTATGTCTATAGGCTCGAATTACTTAATTGTCATTGTAATTTTTGTTTCTGGTGTTAGAAAGGGTTAAATAAATAAATAAGAAGTTACAATCGAACAGACAAACAAACAAATTCACATTCACATTTATAATACAGCTAGTATATCCCACGGTTTTAATATATTTTTTTTATGCAACTTAGAATAGCAAACAAGCTGGCGGCCCACCTGATGAAAACTGGTAACCGTCATCTATAGACATAAGCAGTACCACAGACATAACAGAGTGTACTGATACGCCCATGATACCCCCCCACGTGTTGCCATTCCTGAGGACTCAGGTGTTATTCCCTTGTACCCTGTAAATTTACTACCATATCCCACCCTTTAAACTGAAACACAGCCATGCAAACACAACTGCTTCAAGTATGAAACACGAATGGGACAGAGGTGTCCCATTCGTGTCCAAGTAAACGACTTTTGTACAAAGTCTCCCTCTGGTATATAAAATAAGTATAAGTACGTATAACATTTCTTTTATCAAAACCTGATCTAGCTAACATTGTTTCCTCTATGGCAACGTAGAGGCATTGTCCAAGAAGTCATTGTTCCAAATGAACTGCATCCAACATCTGCATACAGCACACTGCCATTACCCATTCATATCACATACAGTCTAGACGTACACCATATCGTATGCAAATACACGATCGTGGATGCGATTTTCGGCAATCTATTTAGTATTCAGTTCAAAGGTTGGCTTTAAAGCGAATGTTTAATGAAAAAGGGCTTAATTATTCACCCACAACGACGAACTATACAACAATAACAGGTCAACTATAGCAGAAATCCTTTTTTTTATTATTTCAGCCTTAAACTGTCCACTGCTGAACATAAGCCTTCCCCATACGGGGAATTTTGCTAGTAGTTCTCACGCTTGGCTGGCGAGTTAGTAACCGCAGTTAGGCTTTTAGAGATGTTTTAAGAGGGATGGACAGTAACGTCCCTCTTAAAACGAACCTTATTCGCCTCTTACGACACCCACGGGAAAGGAAGGGGTGGCCTATTCATTGCCGAAATACACACGGCGAAATTGTTTTTAATTGTTATAAATTGAATGGTACCTCCACCTGCGTTGTTATTGTTGATTTACTCTGGAAGGGTAGTAGTGAGAGATGTCATGTGAGGTTAAAATCAATTGATCCATAGTGAATTAATTTGCCGTGTGGTTTCAGCATAAAATGGGCCACCCTTTCCCGTGAATATCACGACTAAAACAACTTAATAGTCCATCAGTAGTTTAGTTTTTCAATCAAGTAGTTTCGCCACGACCGAGGTCGGTATTTACATTTTTTTTTTTATATAAAAAAAACTACTTGTTTTCTTTTTTATCAGAACTATTTAAAATTCGAATTTCGAATACGAAGCGACAGCCACTTGGCCTTAATAAAATCATAGTCTAGACTTCGAACAATGACGAATTCAATTGTATGTCTAATTTTGGAGTGAACACTAACGTAGTGTCTACATCTCCTTTTTAATAGTCTATCCTACGATCTAGACACAATACAGACACAGATGGAATTTGTATATGCAAAATTGCAAGTGATTTAAATACAATCACATGTCTATAGATGACTGTGTGTCTGGGTGTAATAAAATAAAATGGGCATAATTATATTTAAGAATTTGTTTATTTTGCAACTGCTTTTACTTATATAATAAACTAATTCTGTTTTCTAACCTATTTGTCTCATTCTAATTAAATTATTATGTTACAGTAATATGCTTTTTATCCATATTGCAAAAAGATTTGGCTTATAGTTTTACGACCGGCTGCCTGCCTGACGTCAACCCTCTTTGGGAATTCTAACCTATTTGTCTATTCTTATTAATATGTTACAGTAAAAACTTCCTAGTATCTAGTTAGAAGGTATATATTTAATGGATGATAATGGAATAGCAACTCAGCCTGTGCTATCGGTATACACTGACGGAGCACCAGTGAGGGATGATAGGTGAGGATGAAGCAAGAAGATAAATTAATCACGATGGTGTCAAGGAGGAATCGCATGGAGGTCGACCTGATAAGGTATATTACTAGCAATTGGGTAGTTAATCCTTATTACTAACAATCCCATTTCCCCCTAGTCAGAGAGTCATGATGTCCATGGTGTTATTCATGACTATAGTTTATAGTTACAACTTTCTATTAGTCTTAATTTTCCATGGGAGAAGAGATTGTTAGTAATGATAATTAATATCCCCATTACTAGCAATCCACTTACCCTATCAGATCGATCATACCAGCCGTTAACTGTTCACTGTTGAACATAAGCTCTCCCTAAAAGATAAGTTTGCCAGTAGTTGCCACGCTTGGCAGACGGATTGGCAACCGCAGTTAGGCTTTTAATGGTGTTTTAAAAGGGGCACTGCTACCCATTCCTCTACCAATAACTTCCCTTAGTTGCCTCTTACGACACCAACGAAAATGCAAGAGGTCCCCTATTCTATCTCACATTCTTCTTGCCGGGACCTACACAGCGATTCCCACTGGAAATAATCATGATCAATTCTTGATGAGTTCCTCACAATGGACCAATAAGCCTGACTTTAACCTCACCTATCGTCCCTCACTAGTAGTTCACCAGTATATACTGTTAGCATAGACGGGAACCATTTTCATCCATTTACACTAATTAGCAATTTGATCCGATTTGTTTAAAAAAATAAAAAGAGCCAATCTTTTTAGTGCTAATCTATTAATACATGGATCATTTAACTTTTCAAATATTTTCTTACATACATACATCAAAGTGAAATATTTAGCATTTAATTTTTAAGTACTTTAAGAGTTTATGACTGTCTGTATGAGTGCTGTGACCTGCCTGTATTTTAAATTTGACTTAGATCTGTTAACACAATTACATAAATTTTCATCAATTTTCTTCTTCATCTATCAAGTCAATAGACAGCCTTTTTTTTATACAACTTAGAATGGCAAACAAGCTGACAGCCCACCTGATGGAAAGTGGTAACCGTCGCCTATAGACATGAGCAGTACCAGGGACATAACAGAGTATACTGTTTCGCCCATGATACCCCCCATGCGTTGCCATTCCTGAGGATTCAGATGTTATTCCTCTGTACCTAGTAAATTCACGCCATATCCCACCCTTCAAACCAAAACACAGCCATGCAAACACAACTGCTTCACGGTTGAAACACGAATGGGACAGAGGTACCCAAGCAATCGACTTTTTGTACAAAGTCTCCCTGTGTCTCAAAGCCTAATTGTATTTAAATCAGAACTTAGCTACATTAGGGCAATCTTAATTTTTTAATCTGCTACTCTGAAGAATGCTACAGTCAAAATGCTCTCGCAGGTTCTTCAACCTGCTTCTTAATAATAATCTTTTGTAGGGAACAATAAAAAGTATCTATCTATCTATGTATACATATATCGTAAATATAAGATCTACAAAAACGTAGACCAATAAACAACGTTGAGAATAAAGAAGGAGAACGGAAAGAAGAATCGTGAGAATCTGTCGATGTAGACGGCCGTCTCCCTTCCGTTGCAGAAGGTCTCGTACTGAGGTATTGACGCTGATGTACTGGCGCGAGGATCAACTGGGTTTGGAAATATATGCTGAAAAATAATAGTCTATTAGTGACGTAAGAATATTTAAAGGCCGTCAGTGTCGGAACTCCTGGTGTGAAATAATCCCCTTTTACTGAATACTAGCTTTCACCCGCGACTTCGTCCTAGTAACCGATGTATGTTCACTGATCAGAAGAAAAAGTAGCCTATAATCGATACCAGTGACACATCTATCTTTATACCAAAATGCATTATGGTCGAGACAGCGGTTTAAGCGTGAAAGCGTAACAAACAAACTCACTTTTACATTTATATTATAATATTAGTTAAAAATTATTATAAAACCATAAAGAATATTAAACCCACAAAAAAGGGGATGGATATGACAGATGGATATGATTTTAAGAGCATTAACTTATATACTATTTCATTTGTTGTTTTAAGTTTCAATTTATTTTTGATTCTCCCCTGTTGGACTTAAGCTTTTCCCATACAGAGAGTTTTACTAGTGGTTGCCATGCTTGGCAGGCGGGTAGGCAACCACAATTAGGCTGTTAAAGATGTTTTAAGAGGGACGCCCATTTCTCTATCTTTAAACTCCTTTAGTTGCCTCTTACGAAACCCACAGGAAAGGAAGGAATGGGCTATTCTATGCCGGGACCACAGTATTAAAATATATTGTGTATTAAGATGTATTTAAATCCGTTCATCCATATAAGCGATATCGAGTAATAAACATCCATAGAATAAAAAATAACTATAATAAGTCAATTGTAGTAGATTAAAGTTTTTTTTTTAACATAAATATTACCTTAAAAGCATCCAGATCTCGGGATAGATCTTCGTCTGAGTAACCCTTCATGGCTTTGGTGGCTACCGGTCCCATATAGTTGTTGACCACCGCAAACTCGAACAGTGACAGAAACACGAACACGGAACATGAAGACATCCATACATCTATGGCTTTGACGTAAGAAACTGGCGGGAGACTCTGCTGAGACTGCGTATTTTGAGTCGCTGGAAGAAGAAGGTACTTTTCATTTGATAACGTTCAATGGGTATTTGTTTCTTCAATTCTATCTCATTTGATAACAATATTAAATTTTTTTTATACCACAAAAGTTGTAAACAAGTATACAGCCCGTCTGATGGTAAACGGTCACCGTAACCTATAAACACCAGGGATGTCAGGTGCGCGTTGCCCACCCTGAAGAAACCTTAATAAACTTTTTGAACTCCCAGTCTCTAAGGAAAACTTTGGCAGGGTGCTTATCCTCATTAATAAACGAGGTATGAGCAGCAGCATTCCTCTTAAAACATCACCAAGGGCTAACTGCGGTTGCCAACTCAACTGCTAAGTGTGGCAACTCCTGGTAAACCCCCGAGTGTGAGTGAAACCCGAGGAAGGGCCTATATAAATAATTACATTAGTTGAATATAAATTATAAAATTTATGATTTTTTTAATACGAATACCAATAATTAATTTCAAAATTGGCATATAATTACAACGTTGCTATAATTTGAAGGCTCTTATTGAAAAATTTTAACACTAACCTAAAGTTAGCAAAGAGGTGACTCCTAGTGTAACTCTAGCTGGTATCGCCTCGGGTTTAATCCAAAACGAGATCCAAGACATCACGACGATCAGTGCCGATGGTATGTATGTGTGAAACAGGTGGTAGCCCAGGCGACGGCGCAGGTTGAACACCACAGCTAGGCAGGTGAAGTTACCTGGAGGTTTTAAATTCTTTTTGTGTAATTTGACAAATGACTGGTATTTCGATAGATGGTTGTAAACGTTGTCTATAGATATGAATATCACAGAATACATTATAATTCCCATAGTACCCTTCACGCGTTGCCATTCCTGGGACCTAAATTGTTATAGGTATTATGCCTCTATATCCAGAAAATTCACTGTCATATTTCAATCTTCTTATAGCATGTGGTCCTGATATAGAATGGGCCACTCCATCCTTTCCCGTAGATGTCATAAGAGGCGACAAAAGGAACTTAATGGTCGAGGCATAGGCAGCAAGATCACCAAAATTTTATCGCAGTTGTCAACTCGCTTGCCAAGCGTGGTAACTACTAGCAAAACAGCCCAATGTGGATAGGCCTATGATCAGCAGTGGACAGTTAACGGCTGATATAATAATAATAAAACTCTAATCTTTAAACCGAACCAGTTGGCCAAGACCTACTTGTACCTACAGCAGCAGAAGCAACGAGCAAAAACTAGTTAGTATATAGGAGGCATACCAGTGGAGTACTCGATAGTACAGTCCGATGTGTAGTTGTTCGAGATGTCAAGTTGTGGCAATTCGATGTCCGGGTTGACGACCAGTGGATCAGTCAGGTTCCATATGAACACCAGGTCATGGACCGTATGCGACACTGTATAATTAAGCATTTATTTTAATCTCCTCCGTGGTGAGCATTTTTATTTAGGTTAATGAAATCCTGGGTTCGATACTTGGTTGGGCCAATTTAGAAAATGAACTTTTCTGAGTTTTTTTCTCAGAATCTATTGTGATCCTGAGATTTTGGAGCAAAAGTGTGTCACTATTGGGATACAACACACAGTGGTGTATATATGGTATGTTTGTTTGTTGTTTTCAGTATAAATTTGTTTAAGTTTCTTTTAAATTACTGAGTTTCCTGAGTTGGCTCGGGTCTGGGTGTCCTGGATCGTGCCCTTAGAAGTTAGCTGTTTCCTCACAACACACAGTTTCATTGCTTGAGGATCAGGCAATTGGCAGTTGTGTACTACTTATTATATTATTACTTAGCTAGTACCGCGGCTTCGCTCACATGTAGCAGAAATTTCCAAATCCGACTAGTAGTTTCAGAGGTTAGCGCGTTCAAACAAGCAAATTCTTTCTTGATATATTAATACATTATATGTATGTATTTATACTGTAATGTATGTATCAACTTCAAAAAGAAGTAGATTTCATTCAATTCAGTTGTATTTTTTTAATGTTTGTTACTTCATAACTCTGTCATTTATAAACCGTTTTGGAAATTTATTTTTTTCCATTTGAAGGGATATACTTATAAATTGGTCCCAGAGAGAGGTTTGGTAGTTGAAAAATCAAAGAAACTGATTTTGTCACAGTTGAAGTCTGTTTTTTTTGGAACAAAATCCTTAATGAAAAGGGTGGTCCTTTTTCAAGGAATCAAGCTGCACTGAAATGAAATTTCAATTACACCAGAGCTGGTCATACTTACAACTTTCGATCATCATGGAACAGCTTTGGGTGTCATGTGGATACGATTCGAACTTCATTGCACACGACAGCACCAGGGTCAACCTTCGGACAAAAATCATACCATTTTATTAAAAGGATTTTAAAGACGAATTATTATGGTCTAACTCTTATTCAGTCATTTTGTATTCATGTTTCATCTTCATGTAGTCTTCATATAGACTGTTTCGTCACTAAATGATACACGTAGCGACATCTAGTTCCAAACTATGCAGAACTTGTACTTAATGTATTTATATATAAAGAACCCAAACATATAAATGATCATATTGTTCAATGAAACGTATATGTAGAATAAAACGTATAAATAACGAAAAAAATACATACATATCTACATACATATTGTTAGCAATATACCCTATCAAATTAGGATCCCCCCCGCGTGTTCCCCCCGGAAATATCATGGTTACATCTAATAAATGAGGAACTCGATAAACCAACTGGCTTGATTACATTCTTCTTCAAAGTTTCATGCCTCACTGATGTCCTGCTATTGTATACCGTTAGCATAGGGGATGCACCATCCTTAAAAAATGCCACCCACATAAAAAGACTCCACGCGGTAATATCTTACTTTAAGCATTACTGATCTTCAGTCCAAATTCTATTTATACATAGGGTTTGTTAAATTGCCCTACTACTAAATACTTATCATTCATCATTAACCATTTTGATTTGCTATTAACGTATTATATTTGTAAATTCCACTAAATGGAGTGATCACCTCAAATGCATCGCAAGGAGTCACTGGATGCTAGTGGTTTAGAACCGTTTCTTATAGCTGTTTATTGGGGAGGCCTATGGCCAATAATGGACGAATAATGGCTGAAATGATGATGATGATTTGTAACTCCATCAGCAGGAAGTAATAGCTCAAGTGAAACTGTCAAAGTATAATTCCATTGTCACTAATTAAAAAAACATAACTTACTTCGACATATAAAGAAGCGTTTTATCATGATACAACCATAAATAATGATTAGGTATGCTCATTTCGTGAAAGGTGACTTTCTTTGCATTCTTGAAAAAGCAATCCGGTCTCCAGATGCTGTTCAACCACTCCACATCCAAGATCCGGTACTCTTCGTGCATGTTCTCTGGTAATCGAAGACGAGGGTCCCGCCAGGATTGAGCTAGAAAGATATCAGCTACGTATGTCTGAAATATTAACAGCTGATCATTTAAGATTTTGTTTCAGTAAAGCTAATTCAATGGCTACATAAATATGGGGTTCGATATTTATGTAGTATAAAACCTTTTATCAAAATCCGTTCAGATTTCGAGTACTATGCATAAAAAATACAGCAGGCAGGGAGCCTACTCCTTATCAAAGGCGATTAAAAATAAACATAATAAAATTAAATAGCAATTAACATTTTCAATGCCTGCAGAGTACTGAGAGTGGCAAGCAATAGGACAGGACAGACAAGCAACTGCCATTCAGTGGTTCCTCTTGTCAGTGACTGATTTTCCAGAACCCTGTAACGCTACCACCAAACTGAATGTTGACATAAGATAATAAATTTCAAAATTCACTGAGTCATCACCACGGAATATAGAGGAGGAGCGACTGTCAATTTAATTTTTTCTTTACAACATAGGAGCAAACGAGCATGCGGCACACCTGATGGTAAATGACTACCGCCGCCCATGATCACTTACAACACCAGTGGCATTGCAAGTGTGCTGCCGGCCTTTTAATAAGGAATATACTCTTTTCTTGAAGGTTATGTTCAATCTTCTTTTTCAATTTCGAATTGAAAAAGAAGGAGATTCACAATTCCTTCGTTTCTTTTGTTTGTTACCTCATAACTCTGTCAGTTTTAAACCGATTTTTAAAGTTATTTTTTTATCGGAAAGGATATAGTTACAGATTGGTCCCATTGAATTTTGGTTCAGTAATATATTTTAATGACCAAAATAACTGGTTTTGTTACAATTGAAGTTTTTTTTTTGTTCTTAAATTACCTTTTGAGTTTCTGTAACTTCTTTCTTATCTAATTCTGCGGTTTAAATGGGTTTAATCTCCTAACAATTTATTGATATAGAAATTAAACACTATAGAGTGAGTTTTTTTAGTTTAAGAGAAATAAAAACTAAATACTTGATAAGTAATACCCACCATACTTTCCTCATTAATGGAGTCAAGTGACAGAACAGTAACGTGGAAGTAGACTATAGTGGGCTGCCCCAGCAGTTTTGGAGCTCTGTTTTTGTCGTAATATTTCGCTTTAACTGGCAAAATGTCACGGAGTGATAAACTCGACTCCGACTTCAATTCTATTTCTTGATACGATGCATTTGTTCTGTTGAACAATAAGATTATTAAATAATTTAATCAATTTTAAATAAATAAACGATTTATTTCTCAAAATTGTTATATATAACACTTAATGTATACCTATTAATTATATTTTAATCGGAGAAAACTAGTGTCTGAGCTATGCAGAAATGAACCAACCTATGTTATAAATCATCAGGCTTCCCCTGCACTTTTTTGAGCTATAGAAAAACTTGATACAAAATATTATACTGTCAATACTTGCTTTTTTTATACAACATAGAATGGCAAACAAGCTGCCGGCCCACCTGATGGAAAGTGGTAACCGTCGCGTATAGACATGGACATAACATTGCTGTATTCTGTACTGAGATAACAATTTTCATTTAAAATAGAATCTGATATTTAGGAAATCACATCAACATAAACACATACTAACGTAGTCAAATAACGTAGATATTAATATTTTACAGTTAAGCTCTATGTGGAGATTGTTGAGTAAAAATACAATCTCTCGCCGAATCTTTTTTAATTCTTTTTCAAAATGATTTAGGATTACAGGCAATAAAGACTTATACAACACTAAATCATTTAAAAAAAAAAAAAAACTCGAAATAAAACTAAGCCCAATCGCCTGGTTTTTGTGCACTTAAAGGCTTTTTGAGTGGATGAAAATGGATTAGTGCACCCTCCTATGCCAACGGTACATAATTCAGGATAAAATAATGAAGATAAAGACAGGTTAGTTCAGCCCACAGTGGCTAATTCTAGAGGAATTAATCATGATGGTCGGGGTAGGGAGGGATTATTAGTAATACGGACTACTAGTCCATTGCTAGCAATAGATCGGCCTGATAGGGTATCAGGCCGATCTACACGTGGTCCCCCCTGGAAACCATCGTGCTCAATACCTGGTGTATTCATCACGGTGGGCTAACTGACCTGCCTTTTCATTGTCATATATCATCCCTCACTGGTGCCCCGCCAGCGTATACCGTTAGCGCAGGCAGGGTTAACATTCCATTATCAGAAATTAATAAAATACTTTTTGTTAGCATAGTTTTTTATAATATATATAACTGTTTGGCGGTCAACCTGATAAGTTGTAATAACAACCTGCCTGCAAATTAAAGGGGGGATTGTTCCCCCCCCCCTGTAATAGCCAGGTCCTTTAGTCAAATAGCAAGCAAATCCAATGATGGTATCGTCATCTCTAACCAGTTCATAATATGGAATGAGATTCGTTTATTACTGGTCTTGGGAGAGGGGGGTCGAGGGGGGCATATGTACTTAGTGGATACCTCAGTGTTTGCAAATAACTAATAAAAAATCAGGACTGACAGTCCAGGTGAAACTTATGCTAAACAGTGGAGAAATGACAGGTATACTTACAAAAAACTCACTGCAGCCTGCACTCTTCCTGCTTCAGTTTTACATAACAATGTAGACACCATTAATATTAGGACTAAAACCATCTTGTGTCCCATGCTGTTACAAATCACTCTCACAAATATTTGAGATCTTACTTATCCATTATTTAGACAAATATTAAGAGGCTTTTCATATGAAGATTGCGGTATCCTGTCGATAATTTCAGGGTTAACATTCTCTACTAACAAAGGAGGTTTTAGGGGATGAGAATGAGATAGTGACCTCGATTGCGTAATTGATATTTACTGATGAAGTACCTTAGGAGATGATGGTGGAGATGCAGTCAGTTGTGACAAATCCACCAGGAATTTATCACCAGAGGGGTAAGAATGAAGGTCAACCTGACACACATGTTACCCCTTTCCCGTGGTTGTCGCAGCATTCCTCTTAAAACAAAGCCTAACTGCGGTTGTAAAACCATATGCCAAACGTGGCAACTACTGGCAAAACCCCCCAAGGGGGAAGTTTATCTTCAACAGTGGAAAATTAAAGGCTGATATAATGATGATGATGATGAAGTCATTATAACACTAATCCTCAGGAGTGGCAACGCATGAGAACGACATAGTATACTCTATTATGTCCATGGTACTGTTCATGTGTATAGTCGACAGTTACCACTTTTCATCAGGTGAGCTATCAGCTTGTTTACTATTCTAAGTTGTATAAAAAATATATACAATCGAACATATAACCTACTCCTTTTTGGAAGTCGAATAAAAATATCTCTCGGTCAAAGCGGGCAAAGTAGCATGTCAAACTATTATAAGAAAAACGCTAAGTATAAAATAAAAGAAGACTTAGAACTGGCAATATCACACCAGTAAGGTGTTTATAACTTATTAAATTTATGTCTTACAACTTATACACATGTAATCTCTTTAAAAGGTTTGTCTATAATCAATTTGTTTCTAGTCACAGTAATAAAAATTATTTGGAAAGCCTGAATGATATAGTAATAAATACATAAGTAAATAAATATAAGAAAATTATTATCAGAGTTGTAAAGAGGGTACATTGATAAAGACAGATAAATAAATAGCCTATGTCTTTCATTACGCACATCATCATAATTCTGTCACATTTGTATTTCTGCCGTGAGGCAATTTTTTTTTTAATAGATGACAACAATAACAAAATGGTAACTCTGCCTACGCTAACGGCATAGTTATGTCGGCGAAACACCAGTGACAGATGATAGGTGAGAATGAAAAAGCATGTTAGATCGTCGTGATGAATACACCTGGCATTCAGCACAATGGTTTTCAGGAGGGACCACGTGAAGGTCGAACTGGCAGGGTATGGTGCTAGCAATCCCTCGACCATTAAGTTCCCTTAGTCGCCTCTTACGACAACCATGGAAAAAAAGGGTGTCCCATTCTATGCCGGAACCACATGGCATTATCTATAATCTAGAACATACTGTATATTATATAAAAACACCTATAACAAAATTCTATTTATACTCGCATCAAACTGAAGCGTGGAGTAGTGAAGCCTTATAAAGTATATTCACATAAGCATCTCCACCTGTACTACCTTAAAGCCGAGGTTAGTACTTTTTTAACCATTCACCGGGTTCCGTATATGAAAAAACATACTCGTAGATTATTATAAAATTATCACAAGCAAAACTCAAAATAACTACATCAAAAAACATGATTTAAATTCCATACTGACTACAGATAAAGTCAAGTGAAACACCCATTTCTTTATAAAATCTAAAACAAAGATATTCATCATATCATCCATTAACTGTCCACTGCTGAACAGAGGTCATCCCCAAGAGGGGGGGGAGGGTTTTTTTTAATGAGTGAAAATGGATTGGTAACCCCGCCCGCGCTATTGGTATACACCGACGAGGCACCAGTGGAAGATGAAAGGTGAGAATGAATGCAGGTTAGTTGGCCCACCATGATGAATTCGACAAGAATTAAACATGATGGTTTTCAGAGGGAACCGCGTGGAGGTCAACCTGAGAGTATATTGCTAGTAATGGGGCTATTAGACCCCATTACTAACAATAGGGGGAGAGGGTTTGCCAGTAGTTGCCACGCTTTGCATTCATTTCAGCAAACGCAGTTAGACTTTGATCCCCTCGATCATTCCCTTAGTTGCCTCTTACGACACCCACAAGAAAGCAATTGGATAAAGATATTAGTTATGTAATATTACTATGACTACCTAGAGGTTTATTATATAAACATATATATCGAATTTAATAGGCCTCACACATAGAGGGCGTGATATCTACAAACTAGTACCTAATAATACAGATTCATCGCCTGCATATACAAAATAAATCATATTTATGACTGACTACATGAATTAGTATATGAGTTAGGACGTAACGTAACAATGAACGAAATCTTTTTCAAGTCCATTCAGCCCTTTAGATGTGAAAGAGTAACAAATATCCATCTCTCCTTTCGCATTTTTAATAGTAATTGCATGTAAAATGGTTTTTTACTCCTTATTTCGCCTAAAAGATTTCGTATTTATTAACAAAATTGCGTTAATCTTACTCTAAAACCACTGCTTCCATGAAAAATAGGTGACAACAATCTTAGACACGTGTACTTTTCACATAACATAAGTATCTACCTTATAATAAATATATTTTTTATTACTTAACTATTTTATATTTAAATTAATCGCTTATAAGCACATTTTTACGCATTATCGACAGTCAATTACCAACACAACAATAATTTTACTAATTAAGTTAAAACACTTAAAATCACTGTCACAAATTGTTCCTATTGAGAATGTTAAATAAAACATTGTTATAATCGAATTGCATTGTACTGTTATTTTCTAGTGGCTTCTTTTACAGCGTGACACATTCGACTGAAGGTTTATAGGCTAGCTTATAAGGCTGTGGTGTAGAGACGAGCGAGCAAACATTTATAAATTATCTAGAAGAGATAAAAATCATCATCCATTATCCGTCCACTGCTGGACATAAGCCTCCCTCATAGACCGCCACAAAGGACGGTCTTGAGCCACCTGCATCCACTGACTCCCTGTTTGTTTGTTTGTTTGACATCATTGTTATCAGCTGTTAACTGTTCACTACTAACATAAACATAAGCCTCCGGGGGGAAAGAGATTGTTAGTAATGGAGACTGAGAATCCCATTGCTAGCAATATATATACCCAACCAGGTCGATATACAAGCGGTTCCCCTGGAAACTATCATGGTTAATTCCTGATGAATTCGTCATGATGGGCTAACTGACCTGTTTTCATTCTCATCTATCACCCTTCACTGGTGCTCCGCCAGCGTATCCCGTTAGCGCAGGCGGGGTTACCATACCATTTTCACACATCAAAAAAAAAAAACATAGGGCTCCCCCATAAAGGAGGGTCGTTGCCACGCTTGGAAGTCGGATTTAAAAACGTAGTTAGACTTTATTAAAATTTCAAGAGAGACGCTGCTGCCCATCCCTCGACGATTAAGTCCCCTTGGTCGCCTCTTACGATATTCACGGGAAAGGGGTAACGCATTCTAAGCCGAGACAACATGACTATATAAATAAAAGTGCCGACGATTATAATCACTGATAATAGGAAGGAATTGTCAGTAACCGGAACTAGTAGCTCATTGCTCACAATATAGGGTATATCTCTTGTAGACCAGGTCAACCTACAAGAGATTCCATCTAGAAATATATTGTGATCAATTTTTTTGAAATCGCTGTGGCGGGTCATCTGACATAGCTTTGTCTTCGCTGATATTTTATTGAAGGAGGTGACTAAAGGAACTAAATAGCAGCGTCCTTCTTAAAACGTCGCTAAAAGCTTAACTGCAGTTGCCAACCTGCATGCCAAGCGTGGCAACTTCTAGCTAAATTCCCCTTATGGGAAGAGCTTATGCACAGTTAAAGGCTGATATAATAAAAAAATAGCATAAAATAAGAAATAAATAATTAGGCAGGTGTTTTTCTATTATAGAATTTTAAGCGATCAATGATTTGTCGCTAATAAACGGACCACACGTTACGATCACTGTTTACAATAAATGACATAGATATAAAATACTTTTTGCATCTTCTAAGTGAACGTTCAAGATAATTATGAAAAGTATGTACTCATGGCAGTTATCACTATTTGATCTATTGGTGAAGGGGGAAAGGGATTGTTAGTAATAGGTTCTAACAGCTCCATTGCTACATATACCCTATCGGGTGAACCTTAACGCGGTTCGCCCTGGAAATCATCAGTGGTTACTTCTCGTCGAATTCTTCACGATGGACCGACTGACATGCCTTCATTGTCATATATTATCTATCACTGGTGCCCCGGAAGCGAATATCAATAATGTAGACAGTATTACCATTCCATTTTCAGGCATTAAAAAAAAGCTATTGGATAAAACATTGGAATGTTGGTCCCCCTGCTATGTACATTACTAAGTCGACTTCCACGCGGTCAATCTGGAAACCATCAATAATTTTTTTTCTTTTATATGTATCAGTAAGCTAAAATGTACATTTATATGTTCACATTATCGTATGTATACTTATTTCTATATGTATTTAAAAAACTAACAGTTTCATGCCTCCAGTCAAACTGTTTATAATTACTCTTCTCCATCCAAAGGTGGCCTGGAAGAAACTATCGCTTATCGCTCTTAGCGATAAGCCTGTTTTTTTTTTATAGCATAGGGGGCTCTCTCAAGACACCTGATGGTAAGTGACTACCGTCTCCCATGATCGCCCACAACACCAACGGTATTGCAGGTGTGCTGCCGGCCTTTTAAAAAGGAATAAGTATGCTCTTTTCTTGAAGGTTACGTTGTCATATTGGTTCGGAAATACTATTTTCTCAGTGTAATATTTTCTTATAATTATTTGTATACGCAATAAGTTTACGAGAAAACAATAAAGAATATTTATCTATATATCTTTTATTTCATTTTTTCCTCCATTTCATCAAACGAATCGTCGACTTTTTCAGCAGTTTCAGTAAAAAAGACTGACAAAACGAATGTACTCGTATGTACTTTAATTCTGCGTAAATATAAAAGGATTAACCTGGAAGCGTGGCTGTGTCAATTGAGACGACCTTGCTCTTGCTCCACTTGATGCCTTTCACCTACTAAAATTACAGAGTTTAATGTTGAAATATCACAGTTTGTAAAACATGAATTTATTGGGGAAAGGGATTGTTAATAATGGAGTTTGACAGCCCCATTGCTAGCAATATTATTATTAGGTCGACCTCCACGTGGTTCCCCTTGGAAACCTTCGTGAACAATTCTTGTTGAATTCGTCACGACGGGCTAACTGACCTGCTTCATCCTCATCTGTCATCCTTCACTGGTTCCCCGCCGGTATATACCGATAGCGCGGGTGGGGTTACCATTCCATTATCACCCATTAAAAAAAACATGAATTTATTTGACATGAATTTATGTAACATATTGATTTACATGTAAATTCAAGTTTTTGCAATTTACGAGTGCTTCCAGACTAGCAGGCGCTTATATACACGTTGTATTATAATAGAGTGTGTGCCTTCATCTGTTAAATACGCATACCTACTATGGGGAAGAGATTTGTTAGTAATGCAAATTACGTCCTATTGGTAGCAATATACCCTGTCAGGTCGACCTCCACGTGATCCCACTGCAAACTATTTGATGAATTGCAGGTGTATCCATCACGTTGGGCTAACTGACCTACTTCGTTCTCACCTATTATCCTTCACTGGTGCTCCGCCGGTGTATACCGATAGCGCGAATGGGGTTACCATTCCATTATTTACCAGAGGGAGACTTTGTACAAAAGTCGATTGCTTAGGTACCTCTGTCCCATTCGTGTTTCAACCGTGAAGCAGTTGTGTTTGCATGGCTGTGTTTCGGTTTGGAGGATGGGATATGGCGTGATTTTATTAGGTACAGAGGAATAACAGCTGAGTCCTCAGGAATGGCAACGCATGGGGGATATCATGGGCGAAACAGTATACTCTGTTATGTCCATGGTACTGCTCATATCTACAGGCGACGGTTACCACTTTCCATCATGTGGGCCGTCAGCTTGTTTGCCATTCTAAGTTGTATAAAAAATCACCCATTAAACAAAAAGACCTGCCTTTTCATTATCACTTATCATCCCTCACTGATGCTCCGCCAGCGTATACCGTTAACGAAAGCAGGGTTCCTATTCCATTATCATACGTTAAAAGAAAATACGAACACTATTAGAATGTATATGTAATAAAAACCATGCGCTTGCGTTAATTCCTTTTTAATTGTTCAATTAATATATATTTTTAAGTTAAAAAGCTCTTGTGATTTGAAATTTGATTTGTTGATATTATAAAGACAGGTACATACATCTTACTCCTCATATTGGCAACTTGTAGTTGGTACCATAGACATTGCAATATATTCTACGATGTGTCGTTCATATCTATAGGTGACGGTTACCACTCTCAATTAGGTGGTACATCAACTTGTCTATGATTCTAAGTATCACAAAAAAAAAGAATTTCCCGAATTAAGTTAGTAATAAAACTAAATCAAAACCACTCAATACATATTATAAATTTAATAGAACAGATAAGATATATGTATAAATACCTAATTACAAGTAAAGACACGTGAAATATAATTTTTGGATTACATAATGTATTTACAAAATTTTAATAAAAATTATAATCTGTAATGCTAAATATTATTCCTCTAATTAGGGGTGGGTAATATATAGGAATAATATATATTTAGGTTACAATATATATATATATATATATATATATATATTATTTTATATATTTATATATATTTATATTTTATTATATATATATATATATATATATATATTGGTACAATAACTAATATATTAAAAGTCTATTATCCAAAAAATATTGGATTACAGGGTACAGAGGAATAACACCTGAGTCCTCAGGAATGGCAACGCATAGGGGGTATTATGGATGAAACAGTATACTCTGTTATGTCCATGGTACTGCTCATGTCTATAGGCGACGGTTACCACTTTCCATCAGGTGGGCCGTCAGCTTGTTTGCCATTCTAAGTTGTATAAAAAAAATATTGGATTACAGACTTTTAAGATATTCGATAATAGATATCTGACCGATATGGACGTTATCGAAATAGGTGATGACCTTTTTTACGCCATCAATGTTTAGAGGAACTCAATATATAGATATTGAATCGATATCCATTTTATCCATGGCATTATTAGTTAAATTGTTTATAATTTTTTTTTTTATTGTAATTTGTGTGCTGTAAGTAATGTAAATAAATTATCTATCTATCTATCTAGTATTTATAATTTTATATATTTATTATTTATTCAGTGTCGATTCTAATACGCCATTATTTAAATCTCTACATTTAAAATTTGATATCGCAGCAAAATATTTTAAGAATCAATATTATATTAATTAAATTTATAATAGATAAGTTAATATTATTATGAATTTAATTAATGTTGGTCTATAAATTATAACAATTTAGCGAAACTATTAAATTATAATATAGTAGAGATAATAAAATAGATACATTTAAAAATAGCAGTAATTATATAAGAAAAACCATCGCAAATTATTCATTAATTAATTTTAATGTTTAGTCTGTTTTTTTATATCAATGAGGTGGCAAACAAGCATACGGCCCACCTGATGGTAAGCAGTTACCGTAGCCTATGAACGCCTGCAATACCAGGGGTATTACGCGCGCGTTGTCGACCCTGAAGAAACCTCTTTAGCTTCCATGTTTTTACATTTATTAATTATCTAGACTGCAAGTAATTTCATTTTAGTTAGTTATGTGTAGTAGCTTTTAATTCGCTAATTGTTGTCATGTATAATTAATTATCAAGTTATTACAACTGTAAACTTTATTCTTTATTGTACACAAAGAGGTTATTAAAATGTAAAAACAAACATAATAGTGCACAAAGGCGAGCTTATCTCCAATAGAGATTTCTTCCAGCAAACCCAATATGAGAAAACTGACAGTTCATTAGTAGTTACAGTCACACATGTGTACCAATCGACTTAAATGTTATAGTAAAAATAAATAAATGTCTTTACAATTGAAAAGACCAATAGGTATAAATAAATAAATAAAAATATATATATATAAGTAAATACATATAAATAGATAGATATATATTATATATAATACACAAATATAATAAGTACGTACATCAGCATTGTGATAATAATTCTTCAGACGTGATTTGAAAATCCCAATGCTTGGGCTATTCCCTCAAAAACTTCCCTCAAAAATAATAAATAAATAATATTAGGTTTAGAGAAATGGTAATCGAACTATTTTACTACATTCGTAAATCGATCAGCCCCTCTAGACTTGCCTAAACGAGGCGAGACCTAAGTTGTAATGAGACATTGGACATCTCTATGGCATTATATCCTATGGACTCGCCAGCAGTGACGAATCCATCAATGAATTCGCTTGCCACTTAGCTAGAGGACTTAACCACAAATCTATGTAGTCTAAATGAACATATTCCTTAACCAACACACAAAAAGAATTTTGTGATATTAAGTACTTACTTTTTAAATTAAAAGTAATACATTATTTAAATGGTACTTTCACAAATTGGATGTAAACCTTCCATTATAGAAGTATAAAGATTGGTAATGTAAAAGAAAGAAAATACAATAATTTGTATGTTAGAGCGAGAGAGACAATAGGATGATAATTTACACAACATATGCTCGAAGCTGTTTTGGCGGGAGTATGAAGTAAATAATTTCTAATCATTTTTATGTATTGAACTCGAATTAGTTTTAAGTGAATGTAGTTAGAATTAAGTGTGTAAGTTATACTAAGTTAATGCTGTAAACTAACATTCAGATTTATCACAAGTGACAAACGAATCTATTGGTACGTATATTAGGCCTTTTAATTAGATTCGTATTTTTTTTTAATTACTGGGTCAATATTGTACTTGCAGGGTTCTGATGAGACCTCTCCCCCATTATATAAGACTAACTGTTCCTCGCGGCTTTACCCGCGTGCATCAATGTAAAAAGATTTCTGTATGTAATTAGGATATGACCAACCTGTGTACTAAATTTCATTCAAATTCCTCTCTCAAAATTCATTAATTAAAAAACATAATTGCATACAAATATTCACTTTTATATATACACTATTAGGGGCCAAATTTTGAAAAATCCTTTCTTAGTAAGTCATAAAAGGAACCTACTGACAAAATTTTGTAATTCTAACTTTAGAAGTTATAGCTGTGCGTTGATGAGTACAAATATACATGTATCTGACTACTTATTTACATAAATGAGATAAAATGAGAAAGAACACAAAGACAAATATTGCCGTCTTGTTCTACAATGTACGTAAAGTAGCGAGACCATATCTAATAATAAATTCGCTTGCCACTTGTCTAGGGACCTCTTATGGGATAAACAGAAACGGCCAAATGTCAACAATATCTGAAGTTAAAATTTTCTTGTATTGAATATAAAACATGTCTTTCCACCCTCTCTTTTTTAAATAATAACTGAATTCTTATATATACAAATTGAAGTTTTTTTTTTTTTAATACTTTACAATATTTTTTAATTATCACCTGACTTTTCTTCCTGTTCGATATTTTTCTTTCCTGTACCATAGATCTGTTGGCATAGATAATAAAACCTCCAACTATTCAAATCTTCTGCACTATCCTTCATCATATTTCTATACTGCGTTCTAATTTCTGACATCTTTTTTGAGCAAGCCAATGGACTTTTCTTGAGCGAATTCGATGCCTGCACCCAAAGATATTTGCGAACGTATTTAGGATTTTTAAATTTCTCCAAATTAACCTGATACCACGTCAACAACTGCTCTACTTCTTCATCAGACCACATATCGTTTTCGCTGTATTCGACCATGGGTTTTTTCTCAAAAGAGCCCTTAAGTGTCTTTTCCTTAGTCACTATTTCCTTTAAAAGTTCGCTAAACAAAGTTTTCCCGCCCGCCACCTCGTCCTTTTCAATATCATAAAATTGCTTCAAATAATTGATTTTATTAAATATCTTTGACACAGGTTCCGATATGAATTTAGCCAATTCTGTCCATAGATATTTCTTATCGTATATTGGATTTAAAAATTCCTCTATATTCAATAAATAGTATTGTAAGCCTTGTTCAACTTTTGCGGCTGGTAACTGAACATCTTTGTAGTGTTTGTCCCCTTGTGCTTCGTGACCGCTCTTAACGAACCTTGGTTTAATTTTTAATATCTTTTCAACTAAAGCATGGTATGGGGTTTTCTTTCCATTCGCATCATCTGTAGACACAGTGTGATCGCTCTTGAGTTTGGCAAACATTTTTCTACACGATAGAGGAGTTTTATCTGGCAATTTCGATGCTATTTCTGCCCACATATCAGCTGAATTAATCTCCCGTCCTTTACGGGCTCGTACGTAATTTAAATATAGTAAAAGTAGCTTTTTCTTGGTCCGTTTAGTCCACCTGAATGTTGGTGGTTTCGATTCAATACTGTCCACTGCATCCATTTGGACTTCTTCACCAGGTTTTTTAATGATGATTTGTGCATTCTCAATATCACTCACATCCTGGCCTTCTGGTATCACAATAATGCACTGATAGTCTTCTGTAAACAATGAATTATATATTTAAATATAAAATAAAAGTTTATTTTTAATAACATTTTACTCTGCTATTATACAGCTGTTATTTGTATGACTGTTTCAGTATGCAGTGTGTAAAGTTAACAGTTAATTTAATGTTCCAGAGGGAGACTTTGTACAAAAGTCGATTGCTTGGATACCTCTGTCCCATTCGTGTTTCAACCGTGAAGCAGTTGTATTTGCATGGCTGTGTTTCGGTTTGAAGGGTGCGATATGGCGTGAATTTACTGGGTACAGAGGAATAACACCTGAGTCCTCAGGAATGGCAACGCATGGGGGTATCATGGGCGAAACAGTATACTGTTATGTCCATGGTACTGCTCATGTTTATAGGCGACGGTTACCACTTTCCATCAGGTGGGCCATCAGCTTGTTTGCCATTCTAAATTATATAAAAAAAAAATTTACTTTAGGAATGACTGTACTATAGGTGCCAGCTACCAATTCCTATATGAGCCCTCGGCTTATTTGTCATGTACAATATATTTACTAGTTCGCTGTGTGGTCCCGGTATAAAATTAATCACCCCTTCCTTTCCCATGATTGTGGTAAGAGACGGCTAAGGGAACTAAATGGTCGGGGGATGAGCAGCTCTTGAAACATCATCAAAGTCTAATTGTGGTTGCCAACCTGCTTGCCAAGCGTAGTAACTGCTGGCAAAACCCCCTTATGAACCCCATAAGGGGGGATTTTGTCAGTAGGCCACCTATGTTTAGCAGTAAACAGTTAACAACTAATATAATAATATCAGTTAAACCACTAAATCATTTTAGATTAAATTTGACAGTTTACTCAACAATATCCATTTCTGGAAAGGAGATAATGCAAAATAATGTCACATTTTTATCCCCGAGATGTAAAATGTTAAATAAACAAGGTACCAAATACTAATGCAAGAGAAGGTTGGGGAGAAAGGGATTGTTAGTAATGGAGACTAAGAATCCCATTGCTGCTAGCAATATACCCAACCAGGTCAATCTCCTCGCGGTTCCTCCTGGAAACTATCATGGTTAATTCCTAATGAATTCATCATGATGGGCTAACTGGCCTATTTTCGTTCTCATCTATCACCCTTCACTGGTGCTCCGCCAGCGTATCCCATTAACGCAGGCGGGGTTACCATTCCATTTTCACCCATCAAAAAAAAAGAAAAAAAATGCAAGAGAAGGTAACCTTGAAATAAAACCCAATACTAAGCTACTGGCCAATATTATAGTAGTAGTCCTCTTATGAGGAAATCCTACTGCCTAGCTCTAAGAGAATATTAAATAGGCTGTTAACGTAATGTCATAAAATTGTTATCTATACTTATAATAAATCTGTAGAGAGATCAATCCTGTATTCGTACGTGAAATATATTTCCAAAATAACTATCAGGGGGTGATTAATGATCGATATTGATGCCAAAAATGCAATCAGTAAAATTTTTGTCTGTCTGTATGTTCGTTATAGAAACAAAAACTACTCGACGGATTTTGACGAAACTTGGTACAATTATTCTTCATAATCCTGGGCAGATTATAGTATACTTTTCATCACGCTACGATCAATAGGAGCAGAGCAGTGCAGGGAAATGTTGGAAAAACGGGGGAAGTTACTCAATTTTTAAGCTTCCGTCGCGTGTGCAACCTTAATAGTCACTTTATTAAAATGTAAAAATGTCCACCCGTGCGACGCCGGGACGGCCGCTAATAAATAATAATATAAAACCTCACCTTCTTGTGAATCATACTTTTCACTTAGTTCCTGGTCATTTTGATCTAACATCTCTACTTCTTGTATTGTTTCTACATTCTCAGATTTGAAACTGTAGATTTGATCAAACAAATTATAATATTTCCATGAGACCTTCACTTGTGGATTGTTTTCTCTCATTGTCTTCAACTTCCTGTAGGACTTCCTCAGGTCCATGAACTTTTGAATGCACGAATCCTCAGATTTTCCAATTACCTCCGACAAATCCGACCACTTTGCCTTCTCTTCTAAATCTTCTGACAAATCATTGAAGTTTTTAGCGAAATAGTTTATAAGCTGTTTAATCTCCTTCGCGGTCCATTCTTCTACGCACTCTGCACTAAATTTATTGTTTTTTAACTTGGATTTTATAGCTCTATAACCAAAGACTTTTTTACATAAAGCATAATAAGGCCATAAGATTGGCATCTCTGGTCTATCTATCTCTCTTTGTACATAACCGGTGTATACTTGTTTTAGATTCCTGAACCTGTGAGCGCACTGTTCAGCTGATAAACCTATTTGGTTGGCGAGAATCTCCCACAGAGCCTGTTTCTTGCGTACTGTTGTTGAAAATTTATCTTTATTCTTCTGATAAAATTCGAGAATTTTAAATGCTTTGGAATCTCCTATACCGCGTTTGGAACGCTTCGTGTACCCTCTCTCGTCATACTCTTCTTCATCTGTGACGTTTTCCATATTGTCAGTGTCAAAATCTATATTGACTTTTTTGACTGAAATTAAAAAAAAATGTAGTTTTATATTTCAATATCAAATATGTAAAAAAGTATATTTGATATTCACTATAGTGTAAGCCAACAAATCGGACCGGGTTCGATTATATTTACATCAATTATACAAGTATTAGGTGGCTAAATAGTTACCACTATACCTACTTCTACAGTAAAACAAAAATACATGTATTGTTATTTTTGCATTCTTTGGAATAATATGATAACCAATGCAGAATCTCTAACACCAAACGAAAACAACTTAGGATTAAGTTATCGCCTGTTCCTAATATGTCTTATAAGCATCACCAATCTATAAATATATAAATAGTATTTAAAAAAATTACTAGGAGTAAAAAAGTCTATATCAGGTCAGTTTTTTCTAATTTTATATATTTATCTTTTATATAGATAACATGTACAACGTAGAATGATCTAGTATTATAAAAAAAGAATATACATACCACTGATCATTTCTGTTTCCTTTTTTTGATGCAAGTCACTAAGTTTCTCATAACCATCCATTAAGGTCATATCCATTCCGTAATCAAATATTCTATCAAACAGTTCTATATACCTCCAATGTATTTGCATATCGGGATTGTCTTTCTTATCTTCTAGAATAGTTCTGTAAAGATTAGTAAGTTCTTCCCACTGTTTCTTGCAGCTCAAAATACTTCTCTTCGACTTCTTACTAACACTTGCCCAGCAAACAAAATAACATACTTGATCCTTAAACATTTCTATATTGTCATAGAAGAAATTCACCAATTCATCTAATTCTTCTTCCTTCCAATTTTCTGCAGGTCTTGAATTATTACACAGCTGTATATCTATCTCTTTTGATATAATATTGTCAAGTACTATATCCAATGGTTTTCGATTACGTATATTGTATCCACCCTCTATATACTTATCCAGATGTACCAATTTTAGGTCTTCAAATTTCTTTTTGCATTGTTCAGGTTTTTTATCTAGCAATCTGCTTACTTCATTCCATAGGAAATCATCGGGTATAGTTGGATCTTGAAATTCATCAAAACAGTCATAGTGATATTTAGCAAGCACTGTCACTTCAGTTTCATCCCAGTCTGTTTTATTTGTAACAATTTGACTATCAGTGATTACAGTTACAGTAGTCTCAGTGTCCTTCCGCCCATATTTACGTTGGAATTCCGAATTGTCAGCAAATATTTCATCAAAGTAGCGTGTATAAGGCCAATTTACGCTATCTTCTCCAGTCTCGGAGCGTTTGCTCAATACTCTTAAATAATGTTGTTTGAAATTCAAGAACCGTTTATGCCAGTACTCTGGATCTTTTTCTTTCATCTCGAAGGCAATGCGCTCCCACAAGTCTTTACGCCAATACTCTTTTTCGAAATCTTTCTTGTATTTCAAATACAACTTCAACATCATCTCTACTTTAGAATCTATAGATCGAGTTGGTTGTTGATTTATATTTTTTACAACAACAATACCATCGTTGTCTGGTTTGGGCTGGATAGGAATATTTGCAATCCTAGAATCATGAGTGATACTTTCAGCTAAAGTCATTTTGACAAAAACATCGTCCTGAAATGCTAAATGGCAAGCGTCATAGAGTGGCCATTTAACCTCAACGCCTTTTTGCTTGTTCAAAAGTAACTGTGAATATTTTCGTTTTAAGTTGCGCAATTTGATGTCACAAGCAGCAGGGGTCTTGCCTGGCAGCATAGTTTTACATGCCACTGCCCATAAATGCTTTCTTTGTGTAGATCTGTTTAAGAATGTTTCCTTGTTATCAACAAAGAACATGAGGAGGCGTTGAGTTTCTTCTTCAAGCCATTTTTCTTTAAATGCTGGATCAATTTGTGAGTTTTCTGTATCGAAAGCCATTTCATCTGCAGTTTCAATTGCATATGTATTAGTGTCATTATATTGCTGAACTTGATCTTCAAGATTATCAATTGTCACAGCTGTTTGTTCACCATCTAATTCAAGAAATAAAAATTGATAATTTTAATTAAAACAATTTGTTAGACTATTATATAATTTACCATCCCAATAACTAATAAATGTAACTGTCTATTCGTCAGATTTTAGAACCACAATTTTTCCGTTAATATTACTTCTTACTAATATAATAAAATTGCGATTAGATGGCATCTATTCATAAAAGATATTTGACAAAAATTGGTAAGAAATATTTTAATAACAGCAATAGAAGCCAAAACAATATTTTCTAGAAATTTCGACTGTCTGTATATTTGTTTCGACATCATCCACTACTGCACCTAATTGAATGTAGTTCAGTTGTGTCCTTGAAGATCTAATTTAAAATAATAATATATAAAATAAAAGAATAAGAGGTCTATTTAATTAATTTTCCTACTTCTGAAATCCATGTGTATAAAGTAGCAGGGAAAGGTTAGTAGCAAAATATAAACTTGTGAAAAAACATAAGATAGTTTATCTCACCGTCAACATAGAACAAGAATATCTCTCCATCTCCCTGCACCTCAGTTTTTACAACCACTTGCTCCATTCTGCCTTATATATTACCTGTTAAACAGAATAATTAAAAAAAAGGAATCATAAACATTAAAACTAAAAAGGAAAAATAGCCACAGTTAAAAATATTATGTTAAAATCCACAACACTTTATTATTAAATAATATTAAAACAATAAGCATATGTATTGTGTAATTCTATTTAAATAAAATAGCAGAGGAATGTAAATAACTTTTCTTGGAAAATTAGTAATTAAAAAATAATAAAAATAAACAAAGTTACTTTCTTGTTTATAATTTTAGTCTGTATAAAGTATAAAGTTAGACCATGATCTGGTTTCACTACATAGAATCGATGTATAAAATCTACAAATGTGACTTAGACCTTTAAATTTTTTTTTTATTCAACTAAAATGGCACACAATCATATTGGCCACCTGATGGAGAGTGGTAACCGTCATCTATAGACATGAACAGTACCATGGACATAGCAGAGTATACTGTTTCGCCCATGATACACCCCATGCATTACCATTCATGAGGGTTAAGGTTTTATACCTCTATATCTTGTTAATTCACTACCATATCACCCCTTTAAACCAAAACACAGCCATGTGAACACAACTGCTTCACGGTAGAAATGTGAATGTGCTAGAAAAACCCAAGTAAACTACTTTTGTATAGTCTCTCGAAACTCTATTGGTAATAAACAAATTTCAACTTAAAAAACTAATTTATTTATTTATAAAATTTTCTATAGATATGTTTTATGGGATAAAAATGGAATGGCAACTACATCTAAACTATTATTATAAGCACGTGAATATTACCAATGAATGATGATATGAGTTTAGTTGACCCATTATAATGAAATCACGGAGAATGAGTTTCCAGAGAGAACTGTGTAGAACTCGATCTAACAGAGCATACTATTAGCAAAGAGCATGCTAGTCTTTTACCAACAATCCCCTCCCCCCATTCATATACATTTGGAAATTTATATACTAATAATTTCTTACACAATTACAATTAAATGGCTGAATAAATTTAAATACATTTGGTACACAGATTGACTGTATCTTATATTAAACATATAAGATACTTTTATATGAATAAAAATTTTATTTCTAATTAATTAGTATTCGCCGTGTGGTCCCCGTATGGAATGGGCTACACCTTCTTTTTCCATAGATGTCAGAGGCAACTAAGTGAACCTAATGATTAAGGGATAGGCAGCAGTGTCCCTCTCAAAATATCAACAAAGGATAACTACAGTTTTCAACCTGCCTGCTAAGCGTAGCAACTACTAGTAAAATCCCCAAGTGAAAGCCTATGTTCAGCTGTGAACAGTGATGATGAATTAATAAGTATAAAATAAATATAAATAAATAATAAATAGATTTATTTTCTCTCCACAATTCATTACAATGAAATACAATGAGACATGCTTATATTAATCAAATTATAAATATAATTGTGAGAGACTGGTGTTTGAGATAGGTATAAGAATACCTGTAATACAGGTATTCTTATACCTGTATTACAGGTATAAGACTCCACTGGTGTCAAAAGTGGGGCTATTGTATACTTACTAAATACTAAAGCTATGTTTATAGTTTATATTTATAGTTTTTAGAGTAAAGAAGAAAAGAATACAAGTTGTTGAATGTTACAATAACACCAATTCATTACTATATTTGTATATTTTCAATACTGTAATTGGATTATCACAGTGGGTATAAAACCAATATTTGTAAATGCATGGTCTTAATGTATACAGAATTGCAGCATTTGAATTAAAGATTAAATTACTAATATTTCTTTACTTACGATACAAAATTATAGATTATCGGGAATTTTTTTGACATTGGCGGCTAAATTGTTATCTTGGTCGGATATCACAATATATTATATTAAATCACACAACTTGAAAGCGCAGCAATGCGTTAAAAGTAAGAGATTCGGTCGGCCATTTTCAGATTAATGATTATGACTTTTAAGTTTTTGAGAATGCGTCTGAAATCGTCACTTGATCTCTCAAATGACAACTGTGACATTGACATTGTCAGTTGTTAATGTCACAGTTGACATTGTTATCAATGGTTGACATGATGTTTTTACGATTGGTCTTGCGATTTTATTGTACATTACATCGAACCTTAGCATCGAACTATCTCTTGTTTACAAACTTGTTCTTAAGTTATATAACTAGTTAGAATATTCTAAAATTGTATCTTTAGACATAGGCTCTCTAATTTTTGGATTATACTCTGCATCGAACGACGAACAGTGTGACCAACTCTTAATAACGAATCAGCCACAGACTGGGCAAAAAATTTCTAAATAGCTGTCAAATTTGCCGTTAAATTGCCAAAAATATTCCTACAAGAATATGGAAAAAAAATACACAACGAATTTAATGAAATTTCAATCAACAAAAATATTTACTCTACGTATCAATATTTACCTCTAAATTTTCGTCTTCATTTTTCAAGTATATACATTTTGAAGATAAGAAGCGAGGGTTGATTCTGAAGCACTATTCTCTAAATTTCAATTTGATATCACAGCGAAATCTTAATTATAAGGCCAAATATGAACTAAATTTTTAATAGATTTGAGTCAAATTTACCATAAAAGTTTATGGTGGTTCATAAATCGAGATGTTTGGAGATGTTTTGGCAAATTTATTACTGGCAGTCGCAAAGTGTGTATAAGACTCAAATCTTGCTTTGGAGTAGAAATACCCATTTCTAATTGGAAAAAAAAAATACTGATATTCATCACGATGGGCTAACTGACCTGCCTTTTCATTCACACCTATCATCCCTCACTGGTGCTCCGCCAACGTATACCTACTGTTAGAATAGGCGGGGTTACTATTCCATCCATTTATTAAAAATTTCAACCAATAATGACAACGTTCAGTGCATAAAAATAGGGTGGCAGGGCTGGCAAAATGCCACGAGCCCCTGACCCAAAAAGGCCCCGGCTTAAGAGGCCGCGAGCTAAGAAATATTTTTTTTTTTTACATTGTACCCGAGTATTTTATTTTACTTGAAAAGTTTTTTTTTTTCTGATAGGACCCCATCAAAGGAATTTGCCACAGGCCCCAAATGGTATAGTTACGCCACTGACTACGTTCTAACTTCGTTCAAAGTAAAGGAAAGTGATCAAGTAAAATATACAACACAGATTACAGTATTTAGAAACACAAGTTTAATTTGTAATTTAAACTCAATACAAATCAGTCAAAAAATAATGTATACATTTGCAATTTAAATAAAAATGTTTGTACCTATTACGTACGTATCGAGACAAAATCTAATATTTTTTTATTTTTTATTTCTGAATATGCAAATTTAATTTCAAATAAATTTTTGTTGCCTCTATAATACGATAATAACTAAAAATATATTTCAATAACAACAGACAATTTATATAAGCCATATTTATATACACATACCTATACATAATATAAAATATCTGCAATATTATTGTTTATATAGGTACTTTATTTATTTAATACTGATTAGTTTGATTCTACAGTTTTAAAATATAAACACCTACTTAGTGACTTAAACATGTTCTCATTGAATAAAACAACAAAAAATCTAAAGAGATAAATATAAAACAATCCTTTGAGGTTATAATAACTTATTATGTTGTCCCATTACCTATTTGGTCTCAAGCTACGCTATGTAATATGTATGCATGTACATTAGTGTATTATTGATAAGAAAATATTCTTCAGACATGTGATTGTAGGAAATGACTTGTATTATACATAATTATGAATAAGTAATATAACATAATAAAATATTCAAAAAATTAAATTTACTTATAGTAAAATAAAATCTAGAATTGACTGTATTTATCTATTAGAAACTTTGATTACTAAACAAAAAATTGGATAATATTTATTTAATATAACATCAGTTGAAGTGTAAAGTGAGTAGCAGAATTCATTACAGAGTTTGTATATGTACGTCTAGAGCTATTTTTTATTAGGTACCTTTGACAACTTCTTTATTATTTATTTCACGCTTAAATTATTTTTTGAGAATTGTTCCAGATTCTAAAGTTTGTCAAAATAAAAATTATACCAATGGTGTGCAGCATTATGGCAGTTTACCAAATGTACAAATGTTACAAATGTACAGTTTACGAAGGAACTATTATGAAAAAAAAAACGTTAGAAAAAAGGCCATTACACAATCATAGGATCAGGGGGTCTACCATAAAATGAGATTCCAAATATTCGGACTCAATTTCGTGTTTTTGTTCATACCAACATCGGCACAGTAAATGGAGCTTAACATTTCGTTCGTCATAAATCCTATCATAATAATTCAAAGGAACGATATCTTACTATTTTTAATATTTTTAAACGTATGTATTATGTAATTCTAACATTAAGTTTGTGTTTCCTTCGGTCCTGAAATTTCGGAAAATATTTTATGGTACGTAGGTTATTAATACATATCATAGTATGTAAGTATATTACAAATAAATTTTATCTAATACTTTCTGTATATAGCAGATTGTGTATGCTGATTACATACTAAGCAGTATAAATTGGGAAACTTTACAATTACAGGATTGGGGACATCGAGAGACAATTATTGTCACTTTTAATATAGTTTTACAAATACTTTTTTTATTCAGCATCTTAATTAGAGAATCCTGCGTCAACTAAGTTTTGCTTTTCCACCACGATTTTAGGTTTACTGACATACGGCGCGGGAGGTAGCGGCTTAGAGCACAGTCATTCTATAGTATTTCCTCTCCATAAAAGTGTTCCTAACTCAATGCGTGGCGTGAATTTACTGGGTACAGAGGAATAACACCTGAGTCCTCAGGAATGGCAACGCATGGGGGGTATCATGGGCGAAACAGTATACTCTGTTATGTCCATGGTACTGCTCATGTCTATAGGCGACGGCTACTACTTTCCATCAGGTGGGCAGTTAGCTTGTTTGCCATTCTAAGTTGTATAAAAAAAAAATATCTAAAAAAAAAAAACTCAATGCAATGAACTAAATATGGGTAATATCCGATATCTATATATTGAGTTTTGGACATTGATGATCACCTATTGCAATATCGCCCGTAGAAGCCGCATATCTATGTATCAAATTCATTACAAACGTATTAATCTTTTCCATATTATATATTGGATAACAGATCGTTAATATATGTGTTATTGCGCTAATATATGTATAGATATTGTAACTCCAATATATAGATATTGCAATATATATATATTGCTCACCCTTATAAGGAACATTACGAAACGAAACGAAAATGACATAAACCAAAAGAGTGTATTGTATTGATGGTTTGACCTTAACATCGAGTACGGTGACGGAATAAATTGAAATAGCCCGATGTCGATGAATTGACCTTAACATCGAGTTCGACGACGGGACAAACTGAAATAGCCCAATGTCGACCTTGACACCAAGCGGGAGCATGAAACAAACCGATATACCCCGACACTGTTGAGTTAATTTTGAACGTCGAGTCTGTTGGCATACTATACACGTCTCTATTCCGCTCCGCACGCCACTCGACTGAAAGTAATGGCCGAATGATTTCCAATAATTTAATGATTTATTGTAATCATATGGTACTTATTATTATCTAAAAGTGTTAATTCGTATTTTTTTACCATTTTTGGGATTGTCACTTTGGAGAGTTTCGATTTTGTTTAATGCATTTTTTTTTAATGTAGTACATAAAATAATTTTAAAAAATATATATAAATATATAAATATTGTATAATACATTTGAACATCTATAAGAAATGCATTTATATTTATATTAGCACATAAAATCTAAATACTAGCTGTATTGAACTATTATGAGGTTATATAAAAATTTGATATACCTTCAGGTTAAATCGACATCGGTAATATCCTTTGAAAAAGGTGTTCTATCAGAGAAAGAGAAAATTTCTACCCCATATTCATTTGATGGTTTTGATTAAACGATTAATAATAATATTATTAGGCGATACTGTTGCTATTTATTGCAATATATATATATATATATATATATATATATATATATATATATATATATATATATATATATATATATATATATATATAAGTATTTTATATATTTTCATGTCAATAAAATGTGATAAAAAAGGAGATACATTACAGCAATGAATAGTTACCAGACATTATTTTTTCTGACTGTACATGCGAATTCTCCTACAAAACATAAAATATACAAATTGTTGACAAGACATTGACTAATATTTACTAAATAATAGAACATAAAGTGGAGCATGTAATAAAAGTAATTTGTCAGTTACAAAATATACTATATTACTTGGAACTTTAAGGTTAATTTTCAGTTAACTACTTTAACTTATTATTTGGCTACGCCATGTTGGGATCAGTCATTACCTTGGATTTGTCATTACGTTTGTTTTCGAATGAGAAAATGAAAAAAAATTCAGAAAAACTCAACTGTTAAATTTAAGTGATTTAGAGTTTACTAACACTATATTTATATATATGTATGTATGTATGTATATATATATATATATATACATACATATATATATATATATATATATATATATATATATATAATACAAACTCAATAATTAACACGAATCGATATCTCATTTACATAAATCCATATAATATGTTCTAAAAATTCAAGTGATAGTAGTAATGCCTCATCTATTCTATTTCTATATTTGTATGAATACTCAGATACAAATAGAACTCAAATCCCATAATCATAATGGAAGACTATGTCCAAATCCCATAGTACCTGTGCTCCCAACATGGCTCAAGTTGTACGTTGGTATTTTTTATGGTCTGTGGTTACACTATATTTCTTAAAAAATGGCACTTGCATTTACCAGTTTTCGCTTAAATTAAGTACGACTAAACATTGCACACATTTACTTAATAATTAATTTTATACTTAAATTATATTACACAGTAAGACATAGTTTAGACTGTGCATACATTTTAGTCGACTTTATATTAACCACTAATTTGATCTATGCTTTGAATATTAGACTAAAATATGAACACAGTGTGAACCAGGCTTTACGTATAATAGTGAACAAAACATTTACTCTGTGAAGCTATTTGAAGGTTACATTTAACGTAAAAAGCATTACAGTTACAGACATCAAAATTTAAGGCTAGGTATCAACATTTTGAATAAGTACCATTGCAAATATAAATTATTATGTTTAACATTGTATTAAAACGGCTGGCATGAAAAAGAACACAAAAAAATTTAAAGTATAGAATTTATAATTAAAATTATTATTCTACATTCATTCAATTTTTCTTTTCGCGCAGCCAGTGTGTATATAACAGCCGTATTACGTGGTCATACACAGCACAATTTATTGGTTCCATAATCGAAACGATTATTGTAATACTACCATTCAATTTTAAAAATCGAACGACGAATCGTTACAATAATCTCACCGTGTATATAGGTCTTTATTCAATTACAACAATATTAAATTTTATTTACTTTTTAATTCGCCTCTATGACCTGATTAAATACCCATAATTCTTAAATATCAACCATTGCTAAGCTCATTATACATACAATATATATATCAAAAGATCTCAATCAATGTTCGCCATTACAAATATAGAATAAAGTAATATGTAACACAGACCAGCTAAAGCAGTATCATGAGATAAATGATCTGTCTCGTTTTATCTATTACTTTAGTCTATGACCTTCAGATTCCATTGCTAAAATTAATATATAGCTGGGCCAAAGCTCTTTAGCAATTATCTCTGTGCCTACAAATTGTAGGTGAAATTGTTTACCATACTTCGCATTTATGCTTGGGGTTCATTTTTGATCCTATGGGACAATGGAATTCGTCAGAAAATTCCTTTAAGTTTGATATGGGGCCGATGACTCTATACTTTGCGACGGTGTGGTCATCTTTTTCTATTTGCATCTTGGTCGATTCCTTAGTCATTGCTGAACACCACACCTGGAAGCAAATATTTTGATACAATGCATTATGAGACCCGTACACGGTCAAACAGCTTCAATCCAGCACGTATCCGTCTTCGTTTATAAGACAAAAGAAAATAAGCTCAAACTAAAACCTGACTATAAAAAATTATGCTCTAAAAATAAGAACCAAAAAAATATTCTAAAATAATTCTAATTTAGTTATGTACAAACTATAAAAATTTATTCTCAATTAACATAAGTAACCAACTTACACATTTTTTATGCAACTTAGAATGGCAAACAGGCTGACGGCCCATCTGGTGGAAAATGGCAACCGTCGCTTATAGACAAGAACAGTACCATGGAAATAATATACTTATTTTTTAATACGTAAGTATGTAATATTCAAAAAGACGTTCAGAAATTAACTGTGGTCGATTACCACCAATCCTAACAAAACAATACATCCATCAACAGTAGGAAGCGATCGTAAGCTTTAAAGCAAGGTACATAAAGAACGCCATATGACGACCATATGTGGACAATTTTGGGTAACTTAATTAAGAATTTTGGAATATGTAAAACATATATTCCTTGTGTTTCCACCTTCAAGCAGCTATGCTTGCATGGTCATGTTTCCGTTTGAAAAGTGTGATATAGCAATGAAATAAACCTTATAAATCTGAAAGCGAGTGTTTGTTACCGGCTTAACTATTCACTATGAAATTTTATACTATATGGGATGGAGAACAAGTCTACATTTCTCTCGGTCATTGAACATATCTTGGTCATACGGAGGAAGTTGGATGTAAAAGCTAATTCCTTATAAAAATTCATAATCATCATATTCCTCCACAAAGGCAGTTTTGCCAGTACCTGCCATGCTTGGCAAGCAGGTTGGCAACTACAGTTAACCTTTCATCGATGTTTTAAGAAAGATGCTGCTGCCCATCCCTCGAACATTAATTCCCCTTAATAGTTTCTTACGACACCCATGGGAAAGGAAGGGGTGACCCATTCTATACCTAAGCCGCATCGGCAATTATAAAAAGTATGAACAAGTACCTGAGCAAAGGATATGAAGAACAACTGTCGGTGGTTGTACTTGAGGCCGGGCAGCGTGAGGTTCACGGCCGTGTCTTTGCTAGAGCTGTAGTCGAGGTATGCATGGAACGAGGCCTTCAAGCCACCATTGTCTGCAATGTTCTCGCCTGTAACAATTTAAAAAAATAACGTATTTTTTTAGAATAATGATAGATTAATACTCTTACCTGGGTTGTAGAGATAAGAATAATTAGATTCTTATGGGGTGTTAATGGATAATAGTGGAGTGATAATCCCGCTAGTGCAATAAAAACACATCAGACCAGGCACCACGAGGGATGGTAGATCAGTCGGCCCATCGTAACGAATTCAACAATAATTAACCACGATGGTTTGCAAGAAAAACTGCGTGGAGGTCCGTCTGACAGGGTATATTATTAGCAATGAAATTGATTATCACCATTCCTAACTATCCCTTTAGGGTCAACTTAATAAACTTAATAAATAAATAAGTTTAAATATCAACTGAGTTTAAACAAAATTTTGAAATAAAATGCAATCTGGCCAGTTTGGTCACAATAGAATTAATCCGTCCCCCTTCCGTGACCAGTAGAGGGACATTAAACGGTTGTCAAGATAAAGTAAGGTCACCTTAAGTACGAAAGTGGGCTCAAAGTAGCAGCTGCAGAATGACAAGAAATTATGAAACTTAATAGGACTTAGGAGGAGAATTAGTAGTAGTACAATAAAAATACCACAAAATTCCGGCGTAAAAGAAGGATACTTATTACTCTAATTCATGTATGCAAAGTCGTCGTTTCTTGCTAGTATTAAATATTTCAATCAACTAACCCAGCGTCTGCTTCCCGTTCAAATGTTGTCCGTCCACTGAGTAGTCGGAGTACTGCTTCTGTATACACTCGGCTCGTTTCTTAAACCGAGCTATAGTTGCGTTGTTCCACCACTTGTTCAAGTTACCAAACCTATAAAAGAAAACATGTATTTCAATACTCTTATATTATAACTAGCTAATCTGGCAAGCAATGTATTGTCCACTATAGATCATTTACAAAATATAGGAATATAAATTTTCTATCTTCTTTGAAGTTGGAGCAAACAAAACACGTTCCCAAAATTAAAACCAACGGGTTGAACGGTTTCGGAGATTAACATTTATGAACATCGTGACAAGATTTTTATATATTAAGATTAACAGTATTATGATATGGTATTACTTTTTGATAATATAGCCCTGAACAAGCACATGAACAGTATGGTCGATGAATACAAACAGAAATACAAAGTCGCAGCTATATTTTATATTGCATTAAAAATCAACTTGGCTAAAAGAAATCTGATAATACAGCACTGTCCATTCTAGGCATAAATTGGCAAGTAATCACTAAATTATAACTTTGAAGAAATAATTTTGCCTATGCATTGCTCTTATGTCTTGTTGTCTCTTACTATATGACATGATCATTTGACATGGCAAATAATGCAAAAATTTGCTATAAGCTACTTTCCAAACATACGTATTTATTCAGCTATTTCTAAGAGCTACATTACAATACATATCTTGGCTATAATCACCTGTCATACTCCCTCCCCTGGTCATCGAACGCATGCGTCAGCTCATGTCCCATCACCACTCCCATGGCTCCGTAATTGACGCATTTGGGATTATCCCCATCATAGAATGGCAGTTGTAGAATGCCGGCGGGAAATACTATTTGGTTCTTGGTTGGAGTGTAGTACGCATTCACGGTGGAAGGTGTCATGCCTGGTAATATTATAAATATTGAATTCATTAGGATGAGACAACGGACAAATATCTCTAATTATCTTACAAGTGTATCTAAGATTGTATGAAGGAGTGAAAAGATTATGTTTTCGATTAATCAAAGCCATACACAGCGAAGAAAATACATACATACATACATACATATCTGTCACGCCTATCTCCCATTAGGGTAGGCAGAAACAATGGAACGCCAAATGCTTCGATTCAAACAAACCTCTTTCGCTTCGAAGAAAATAATAGCGTAGAAATTAAATATTATTATTACATTATGTCATAGCATGTCATGGCATAGTATTATACTATGCCATGCTATTACGCGAATATACACGTGAAGTAACCTAGGCTAGTTCGGAATGGCACCCAATATAGTTAAGTGGGATGAAGAGGGATAGAGCTTTTCGAAGTGGTACCCAATATCATCATCATCATCATCATTATATCAGCCTTTAACCGTCCACCGCTGAACATGAGCCTTTTCCTTGGGGGGTTTTACCAATAGTTGCAACGCTTGGTAGGCGGATCGGCAACCGCAGTTAGGCTTTTAAGATATTTTACGAGCGACGCTGCTGCCAATACCTCACCTTAGGAATGGGGTGGCCTATTCTAAGCCGGGATCACACGGAAACCCGGGAACCGATACCCAATATACTCGTAGTTAAATGTTAGTTTTGTGATAAAAATTGTTCTGAAGACATACCACTGATTTGCCTACTAGAGAGTTAGCAGACATCAGAGTAATTAATTTCTATTCTCACCCCATTTCGTTTTGTTGACAGGCTGATCCAACTTCTTAAGGTCATTCTTGAGACTGAACACGTTGAATGCGATATTATTGTCAAAATATTCATTCGGCTTCACCTGCAATTCCTCGTATTGCTTGTTCAACTCGTCTTTATGCAGGATGTAATCAGGGAAACCTAGTGAAAATAATTTGATTTAATAGGACAATCAAGTTTTATTATGATAGACACTTTACTGGATAATTGCAAATTGATACAGTAATACTATTACAATATGTCAATTAGTTATAAACATTTAATTACATTAGAAGTATTAAAAAAGATGGTGGTCCACTCAATGTTCAGCAGTAACCGGAAATTACACTGTATTTCGAGTTATAGTTTTATAAACGGTCAGTATAGTTTTATATTTTATATACTTTAAAATCTAGCCTAACTAACTAGCTAGTTAACAGCCATGCAATCACGGTTGTAATCGGCAAAATCAGGAGTGAGATAAGGTATTCTTGTCTATATGAGTCTCTATTTTCAGTCTGTACGATTTTTTAACAGATTTTCTTAAGGGTTTTTCTTTTTTTTTTCTTTTGAACCTATTAATGATAATCTTTAGTTTTATAACAGAGAAAATATGATAAATCACCTATCATATCGGTGATAGCATCGGCTTTTGTTTCTGCTGCTTCTCTAGTTTCCGAGTCCATCCAGTCTAAGTTCTTTAGATTTCTCTTAAATGCGTTTCGTATATTGTCAATCATTATCTCGCCTTGTGTCTTTGCTTCACCATGGAATACTTCGCGAACAAACATGGCGCCGACTGCAAAACCTGAGGAATATTTTATATATATATATTTTATATATATATATATATATATATATATATATATATATATATATATATATATATAATAATATGTAATCATCTAAAAATCCATCTCTTTTAAGAACATTAGACTTAAAAGAGATGGATATAAATCTAGTTAAAACATGAGATTTATTTGCTTTATTATCTTCAGCAGATTTATATCTACACTATTAGAATCATCGTCTAAATAAACTATAATGGTATACACTTTACGGATAAAATATTACACAGTTTTCGAATAAACAATGAAAACAGTGTAATTTAACCATAATATTGTCATATCATAAATATACATATATAAATTTTGACTTCATTACCATAAATACCTATATAAATATGTTACAAACAAATTAGTAAAAACCCATGACTAATGTCTAGTGTATCAATTACTAATATGCAAAATTTTATAAGAAAATCTATTTACAAAAATGATCTTACCAATAGCATTGTTGGTATCGGTAACACAATATCTCCAAGATTCTTCGGTACCCTCGGAACCGAAGAGAGCTTTTCTTAATATCTTGGTCGCGTCCCGGAATGACTTTGACAAATATGTGGACAATGACCGCGATACTTGCCACATCATGTAGCTGGTAAGTGTTCTAGAAATAAATGATTTCAATCATAGAGAAAAACTGCTTAAAACAAACCCAACATTAATACTACTGAATTCTTGCTGCTACTTATCATAAATCAGCAAATGTTATCTGATATAAAGGTATAATTAGGCTCTAAAGTATTGAAAAGTTTGCTTTAAAGAACCTTATTAAACTTAATAAAGTTTTAATATAAATATTCCAAGTAATAATTAATTTCAAAATACAGAACTTTAATAAAGTTAAATGAGAAATAAATCACACTCATACATACATACATATCTGTCACGCCTGTCTCTCATTAGGGTAGACAGAAACAATGGAACGCCAAATGCTTCGATTCAAACAAACCTCTTTCGCTTCTTCCACATTCATCAATCTTTACACACTCATAATAATTATTTAAGTGATAATGTATAAGAATAAAATAATGTTATCTAAATTAATACTTGAAATGGAATCGTCAGTAAACAGTATGACTTTATGCAGATTCTTATTTATGTACTCGGTTGTATATAAACACGTTCATTAACATGTACTGATAACCTTAATGCAGCTAGGCTTTTAAAATGTAATTAAACACATAAATAAAGTACCAAGATACTTACAATTATATTGCGATTGCGGGCACATGGCTCTTCGTTTGCGGTGAGAATGGTATATATTTAAACGTAGAATAGGTACTTACTTCTGGTCGTCTTCTGTCTTGCTATATCTTCTTATAACTTTAGTGAGGTTTCTGAAGTACTCGGGTGCATATACAACTATTCTCTCCGTATCAGGTATCTAAAATATTATATAAGACGGCATTATTTCATATTATATATATAAAATTCTTTAAACTTTTGAAATGTATTTTAACAATTATGACTAATATATAGTTCTTATATACAGGGTGGAAGGGACAAGTTGGCTAAAACAAAAACAGCTGATTCAGATGAATGGTCAGAATGAGATAGCAGACTATTTTCTCACCGGAAATACACCACAGCCATATAATTAACGATTCTTAGTTTTGACGCCGCGCAATGTATTTGAAATTTTACGATCCACACAACTTGTAATACCTAAAACGCGCGCTTCTTCGTAGGTATATTTTGTACGCTTGTGGCGTTAACCTTTCACAGCTGAATCTGCGTGTCGCGATAGTATTTTAATAGAAATAATATAATAATTTGATGTTTTTAGTATCACATTAATTATTATTTCATTGTAAAATATTATTATTTCTTTATATTATGAAATAATATTATAGATTACATTATTTTAAATGAAAAATAAAAAAAGGAGAAAGAATTGAAATTTTCCAGAAAGAATTCCCATTGATTTTCAGTTCAGAATAATGGTGTGAATTCTCTGTTTCAGTTTTTACCAACCAGTCGCTTACACCCTTATATATATATATATATATATATATATATATATATATATATATATATATATATATATATATATATATATATATATATATATATATATATATATATATATATATATAAGTATACTATATATATATAAGGTAAGTATAACATATTACTATTATTACAAAAATTTGCTTATTGTGAAAATTTGCAAAATTATGATAAAAACTACGAATAAACTGTTATTTATATTTAATTCTTATTAAAAATATGATTATAATGTACTATATTTTAAATGGTATAATAAAACTTACAGTTCTATTAACCAATTTGAAAGCATCGTTAAAGAACATAGTCCAATTCAAAAATGGCGCTTCCTTCTGCCATTGCCTTATTGTATAAGGGTTATATAGTCCTTCCTCGTCCCTTCTTTCTTCAGAGGGCGTAGTTATATTCGCTAGTTCCGTTTCGAATTGTATAACTTTACTCATTTGTGACCTAGCTTCTGTTTTGTTAGCGCCTAATAATACGCAAACACGAGTCATATAGTCTAGGTATGCATCTAGAACTTTCTTATGCGCTGTTTTGTTGAGGTAGTTGTCTCGAGTTGGAAGATTCAGTCCGCCTTGGTCCAACTGAAATAGTATTTACACTTTAATATAAAATCTACCGTTTGGACATTATTTATAGCTGATGGTTGCTAAATACCATCGATTTTCAAATATAAATATTATTATTTCTTACATCATATGCGGTATGTTACTTACAACTATGACATGCTTGGATGAATTTCTATCATCTTCTGTCACAGCCCAATTAAATAGTCCACCTAAATTGTATCTAAAAACAAAATTTCATTTATTAGTACGTACGTAGTCTTTCAGTACTGAGTACCTACCTAATAGTATTTGTTAGGGGGGAAAGGGATTGTTAGTAATGGAGACTGAGAATCCCATTGCTAGCAATATACCCAACCAGGTCGACCTCCTCGCGGTTCTCCCTGGAAACTATCATGGTTAATTCTAATGAATTCAATGATGGGCTAACCCATTGTCATCTATCACCCTTCACTGGTGCTCTGCCAGCGTATCCCGTTAGCGCAGGCGGGGTTACCATACCATTTTCACCCATAAAAAAAAATAGTATTTGTTAGGGGGAGGGCTTATTAGTAATGGGAAGATTATTCCCCATTGCTATCAATATACCCCATCAAGTCGACCTCCACATGGTTCACCCTGGAAACTATCGTGACTAATTTATTGTTGAATTCCTCACGATGGGCTAACTGACTTACTTTTCCATCCTTACCTATCACCTCTCACTGGTACTCCGTCAGTGTATACCAATAGCACAGGCGGGGTTACCATGCCATTTTTATCCATTAAAAATAATAGTATTTGTTAGATTAAAAATTGAGATAGTATTACAAATAATATTCGCTTTAATTTTTAGCTTGTCAAGATTGATACTAGGATGGTAAGATCTATGGTAAAAGACAATTTAGTTAATAAATTATAAGTCCTTTTGTACGTAGAGAAATTGACGTAGTCAGGATGAGATAACCTCTTACATTATACATCTACCCTCAAAAAACAATCTCAGGATGGAAACTGCATTTTCAAAGTTCAATGTTCTCTTAATATCAGTGGTTTATTCCCTTAATCGTCTGTTCTTATATCCGTGAATGTAAAAGAAATGGTGACACGTGTTTTACATCGTCATCACATGGTTAATAACTAGAAAGATTTGTGCACAGCACTGGGGTGTAAATACTGTAATAAAGCTGTGAGGGGTTGGGGGGCGGACGTGCTCATCTCAGAATTACTTGTTGAGTAAAATTCACTTACGAATTCTGTACATCCTGGAGTAACTTCTGTAAGTCAAACTTAGGCTGTTTGATCATGGTGCTGGGAAGAATGTGCCAGCCGCCTAACTTCTTAATGATATTCACTAGAGGCTTCTCCCCCAACTTCTCTATGGTTTCATTCGTGTCTATGCACGCGTCGTAGTATATCCGGGCCTTCGCTTCAGCATCAGTATTGTCTGTGGTGTTTACTTTTTCTGAAAAGGAAAAAAAAAATATTGTATAATAATATATAGATTAAGAGGGACTGGCTGAAAACCAGCTCTGTGCAGCTGTATAGATTGCACTGTGACACTCGCAGCACCAGCTGAGCTTAATATGAGATATTTCTTATATATCAGGGTATCTAAAATTTTTTGCAGTCATAGACCACTTTCACAATTTAAATAATTCTACGGACCCCTGTCAAAAAATCATTTATTTAGATCCTAAAATTTAGAAACAGAAATAAAAGTTTTAATAGATTCTATTGAATTTTCCGTCTTACGATGCGTCTCGTCGAGTGTAATACACAATATCCTTATAAATATTTTTACAGTTACTACTACCTAGTACGGACCTCTAATAGCCATGCTACGGACCCCTAAGGAGTCCGTGGACCCTACTTATAAAACCCTGTTATACATATATAATAGTAGTACATTTTCTGGCAACAAATATTTTTCTATTCTATTCTTTTCTAAAAAAATGTTAAGAAAAATAATTATACCTACTAATATTATAAATGTAAACGTGAGTTTGTTTGCTTGTTGTCTAATTAAATAAATAAATATCCAAGTAATGTTTGAGACGGAGAAGGACATAGACTACTTTTATCCCTGTCTTTCAATATATCTTGGTCTGAAAAACAAAGACGCTCTTTTACTTTTGTTAAAATAAAATTTGTATATTTGCGTTTGGTCTAATTTAATGTCTTATGCACATTATATAACAATTAAATACAAAGCAATATCAGCCAAGATACCGCACTACATATTAAAAAAAATCTAATAGAAAACCTTCATTTTGAAGTTGGTCAAAAAATCATAATATTTCTACTACAAATAGTAGATATCAGTACGTCTGTACGTGAATTAAAAGCAATAAAATATACAAACATTATCATTTTAAAGGTAACAATCCAATTTTCGTTGTTGTATACACAGAACAAGATCAAATTCACAACAACCATCTAATTTGATATTAGTAGCAATAGCAGCATAGATACAGAGTACAAAGTACAGTTCGCCGCATAAATTGTAGATTTTTCAATTGGCTTCTACCCGCGACTTCGTTCGTGTGGCCGGACTACATCGATTGATTGGTATAAAAAGTTGCTCATCTCTTTCTCCACCTTTTTTTTTAAACTGTGCTATTACGCAGATGTACGCAGATGACCTTTACAACTTCACCAGATGAAAAACACTAGTTGCGACTTAAATAGGCTGAGAGCTTGGTGAGGCAGTTCAAACCTCGGATAAACTGGGGGAAAAGGGATTGTTAGTAATGGAGCCTGAGAATCCCATTGCTAGCAATATATTCAACCAGGTCGACCTCCTCGCAGTTCCCCCTGGAAACTATCATGGTTAATTTCTGATGAATTCATCATGATGGGCTAACTGGCCTGTTTTCATTCTCATCTATCACACTTCACTGGTGCTCCGCCAGCGTAACCCGTTAGCGCAGGCGGGGTTACCATACCATTTTCACCCATCAAAAAAAAACCTCGGATAAGCCGTCGTATCTCGATCCCTACCTAAAGGGATAGGGGGATCGGTCGGACCGGTTTCTCCACGCTAAATAATACTAATACATACACAAACTCTAGTTGGTAAACATGTACCAACCATAACCAACCGTCAAGAAAGAACTTACAAACAAACTCACAATAAGGATTTTGTTCATCAAATTATAATAATACACAATATATATTGTAATACAGAATCATAATGCGAATACGGATACAGGAACTATTTGACAAAATATATTTACGTATTCTTATGGTGTAACTTCACTAAAAGTCGGACGGTATATAAATATAACTGTCAAATTGTATATCCATAATCGTAAAACTGTGCGTTTAAATTTAAATAATCCATTTAATTATATATTAATAATTTTGTCACGATTTAACTCTTTTTTATGGAATAAAGTCGTAAATTATGTATATAAATACTTAGACGTGACCGGGTATATTCACTGACCGGACTCGCATCTCATATTGTGCGTATGTACCAAATTTCATAGTAATTGGTAACAAACAAAGTCACATTTATTATATTAATAACTAGGACAGGCACCAGCTCCCACAAATAATATTGTTAAAATGTTTTGCGAGTTATAGATCCCTAATTGGTTGTGGTGAGAAATAATAATAAATAAATTATTAATATGGATGACAAGACTTTTTCCTAGTTGAGTGTACCCAAATAAATAACTACATTACAGTAATAGGTATAAGTAAATATGTAAATATTAAGATTTCTTATAGCGGCGCTTTTATAAGGAACGATACGTTTACGTTTTGTTTGCTTTAGTTTTTCGAGGTGTTAATTTTTGCAATGTTGTCATGTCAATAATTTGAGATTTTTCCTGATCTTACTCAAAGTCTGTTCAAAGTATAATGAACCTCAGTAATATTAACACTAAGATCATATTAGTACAACTTGGAGGTTTCAGTAACAGAAAGGGTCTCTATGAAGTTCATCATATATACTTGACGATGGCATGAAAAAGTCATATAAATCAGCACTAGCAACTGTAACAAGAGGTGTACCTCAGGGTTCAGTATTAGGCCCAATATTTTTCATAATATTTTTGAATGATTTAATAAATTATATGTACAATTTGTTCTTTGATATTGGGATAGTTATTTTTGCTGACGATACAAATGCAGTAATTTCTGGTAATAATGTAACGGATTTGAGCAATAAGACTAATGCAGTAATGACGGCTTTTAACACGTGGTTTTCAGTAAATAACCTGATACTAAATACATCTAAGACTAATGTCATGGTGTTTAAAACAACAGTTAGAAATAACCAAAGCCTTAGTATACATGTAAATGGAGTAGCTCTCAAAATGGTTGAAACAATGAAATTCTTAGGTATATATTTAGATTCGCTCTTAAATTGGAAAGCTGAAGTAAGTGCAGTAGACGACGCTATAAGCTCTGCATGCTATGCACTTCGTACTCTGAGAGAAGAGCTTACCAGTTGTTGACAATCTATTATGCTTTGGTAGAATCGCGATTACGATATAGCATAAAATTTTGGGGAAATAGCTACAAGTATAACACAAATAGAGCATTTATAGCACAAAAGAGAGCCATTAGAGCCATGGTTCATATTCCTCCCTGGGAATCGTGTGCAGGACATTTTAGAAGACTAAAAATACTAACTGTTCCAAGCCTATATATTCATGTTCTGCTAATAGATTTAATTAAAAATAGACATTTATATGAATCAGAGGATAGAATGAAACAACGATTAATTACAAGAAGGATGGATTTACAAAAGGTTATTATACCCACATTTAACATAGTACAACATTGTCCATGAAACCAAGCGGTGGTATTATTTAATAAGCTGCCTAAGGAATTAAAGTCACTGAATGATTTAAATATCTTCAGGACAAAATTGAAGTCATTACTGCTAGAAAGGTGTCTGTACTCAATTGACGAATTCTAATTATAGTAAATTTGAATATATACCTATATTGTTTATGTTAAGAGATGACTAAGTGACTATAATATTTGTTTTATGCTTGATTTAATTTATATTTTATATAGTGTATGAAATTATTGTATCTACTATAACATTCAAATACAAATTTTTGTTTATGAATAAATAAAATAAAAATAAAATAAATATCATGGATATGTCTCCTCCATACTTTCATATGGATTATTAATATGGGGAAACTCTACAGAAATTTCCAGAGCATTTGTTGTACAAAAGAAGTGTGTTAAAGCTATATGTGGTGCAAAAACTAGAGAAAGTTGTCGCCCTCTTTTTAAGAAATTAAATATTCTTCCACTGCCATGTATGTACATTAGAGACCTTTGTATATTTGTAAAGGAACATGCTGGCTATTTCAAAAGAGTATCGGACTCAAAAATACGTGTAACTCGACCAAATGACAAATTATGTGTACCAAAGTGTAGATTAGATTTACATAAAAGGAATGCATATTGTATGGCTATTAAAGTTTACAATCATCTACCAAATTACATTAGAGAAATAACCAGCTCATACAGTGTTCAAACATAAACTTAGGAATTGGCTGTTATGTAATAATTTTTATACCATCAATGAATATTTAACTAAAAAAAACAAATGTACTTGACAGTCTATAATGGAGACGTGATTGACGCTTTGGCTCTTGTTTTCTTTTCTATTTACTGTAATAAATTATGCGTGTGTTAAGTAGTATGACTAATAAGGGGAAATATAATGTAGAATTCTGTAATTTTTTCATATTATTAATAATTTGCACGCCGACACAGAGGCAGAATGTATATGGGAAATGTAAACCTCTTTTATCGAAAACTACCTACATTCTAGCAAAATAAATTCATTTCATTTCATTTCATTTCATTTCATTTCAAGATAGTTTTTTGCATAAAAAAAAAACTATGGGATAGCAAAAATGCTGACGGCTCACCATATTGATGGAAAGTGATAACTGCCGCTTATAAATATGAATGGCATCACAGAATACAGTGTGATGCATGGCCATAGAGAATGGGCTGACGTCATCAAATACCTCCCATGAATGAACTTGTACTAAAATTATAAGGAGGAAAAATTTGTTCGTAATGAATAAACTCAAAAACTATTTAACTGATTTTCAATTATTTTTATCTATAGGAAGCTACATCAACATATCATCATCATCATGTCAGCCTTTAACTGTCCACTGTTGAACATAAGCCTCCCCATGGGGGGTTTTGCCACATTCGGCAGGAGGATTGGCAACCACAGTTAAGCTTAGAAGATGTTTTAAGAGGGATGCTGCTGCCCATCCCTCACCCTTAGTCGATTCTTACGACACCCACAAGAAAGGAAGGGATGGCCTTTTCTATGCCGGAACCACAAGAAAACATTAACATATAGATATGAACAATACCATGGACATAACAGAGTATACTGTGTCGCTCATAATACACTGCTATGCTACAATGCGTTGCTATTCCTAAGAGCTAAGTTGTTATGCCTCTATACCCTGTAATTTCATTGCCCTTTCCTATGCAGCCATGCAAACAACTGCTTAATGGCAGAAACACGAATGGAATGAAGGTACTCAAGCAGGCGACAAGGCAGGCGACAAGGCAGGCGAGGTTTGTACAAAGTCTATTTCTGGTAATATTTGAAATTACGCACGCGCCCGCTGAAACTGTCAAGATCGTCCATGACCAACAGCAATTACAGCTCAGAAAAAAAAAATTTAAATTATCGCAACGAAATTTAAAATGCATTACGAAATATTTTGAAATATGACATTTTCTCGAGGACTTGTTAGATATGAATCTTCGAATGTAATTTTCACTTAATGACACCTTCTTGAAAAAAAAATTACACGCCGCGGGGCCCTTAACAGATGGGGACTTCCCATCGGCCCCTTAGGCATTTGCTTACACTACCTAATGGACAATTCAGCTTTGTACAGAACATCAAGTCGCTCAGCAATGTCTATATACAGTAGAATCTTCATTATCCGACAATCGGTTATCCGAAGATATCAGATTATCCGGACTTATTCTTCACGGTTCTAATTACCGATTCAGAAATTGTATTATGTATTAATTAGGTAAATTAGGTATGTATTATATAATCCATTATCTTTATAGCTGGTAAGTTTTTAAATATTATATTGTCTAAATCAGAGCTGTGCAAACTATGGCCCGCGACTTGAATTGACGTGGCCCGCTAATTAATTAATCTTTTCTAGCTACTACCAGAGGGAGACTTTGTATAAAAGTTGATTGCTTGGGTACATCTGTCCTATTCGTGTTTCTACCATGAAGCAGTTGTGTTTGCATGGCTGTGTTTCGGTTTGAAGGGTGGGATATGGCATGAATTTACAGAATACAGAGGAATAACACCTTAGTCCTCAGGAATGGCAACGCATGGGGGTATCATGGGCGAAACAGTATACTCTGTTATGTCCATGGTACTGCTCATGTCTATAGGCGACGGTTACCACTTTCCATCAAGTTGGCCGTCAGCTTGTTTGCTATTCTAAGTTGTATAAAAAAAAATAAAAATAAAAAACCAACATTGATGTTAATGTTGACAGAATTGTAATAGATAAATTAATGAAAAAGTAATAAAATAACAAAATAATAACAATAATACAGTTATTTTGTTTCAAAAAATATTTTGCAATCTCAATGGATTTAGTCATTTTTATTGACCTAGATCCTATTTAGTTAGAACAGCCCTAGTCTAAATGACGTATGTAAAACTTTTTACATAATAAAAACAATACATTAAAATTTAAATATATATTGTTTCATTTGACTTTGAAATCGATTATCCGGATTTTAGATTATACGGAATACACCTGGTTTTATCTGATTCGGATAATCAAGATTTTACTGTATCTATAATTGTGGTTGTTTTTATTTATTTATTTATTTATTACATCCACTGGGTGAGCCTTACAGTCCCCCAATACGCCCACCCAGGAAATCATGAATACAACAACATATAAAAAAAGGAATATTACACATATATAACAAGAATAATATAAAAAGACTTAAATAAAAACGTCTGAACACAAATACTCTGTGGTCACCCGACGAAACTCCAGCAAGTTTTTTTTTTTTTTTTATAACAACATAAGTACAATACAATTGGTATGCAGGTTACCTACAAGTTAGTGCTCACATACCCTTGGCATTAACAGACATTACAACAGACAAACAAAAAACTATAGGCATCAATCAGCATTATAAATGAGTTAAACATATTTTATTAGTCTTAGCTCTAGAAGAATTTAAATGTTACATCTAAAATGATATCCGTATTTTAACATGTGTCTACCTATCTACACGGTCTAGTAACAACTTTAAGGATATATTTAAGTATTCCTGTTCAACACGTTTGATTTAATAACGTTAACATTGGGGGGAAAGGGATTGTTAGTAATGGAGACTGAGAATCCCATTGCTAGCAATATACCCAACCAGGTCGACCACCTCGCGGTTCCCCCTGGAAACTATCATGATTAATTCCTGATGAATTCATCATGATGGGCTAACTGGCCTGTTTTTATTCTCATCTATCACCCGTCACTGATGCTCCGCCAGCGTATCCCGTTAGCGCAGGCGGGGTTACCATACCATTTTCACTCATTAAAAAAAGCATAGGGCTCCCCCATAAAGGAGGGTTGTTGCCACGCTTGGAAGTCGGATTTAAAAACGTAGTTAGATTTAATTAAAATTACAATAAAACACAACGTACAATATAAGTAAGCTTAAGGCTAGATGAACATATCAATTACGAGTAGTAGCGTAAATAGCTCTCAATTTGGAGAATGTTTTTGTGATAATCCTACAAAACTTGGTCACGTTTAAGTTTTATAGACTATAATGACTTACCAAGTGCGTAACGTATTGTTAGTTGATTCTGCAACTCGATGTTACTGAAGATCCCCCACGTGGATTTACCCTCGGGGATCGGGTTGTTCCGGATCCATCCGCCGCACGCGAACTCGTAGAAGTCATTACAAGGATCTTGGGTCTCGTCCAATGCCCTGATCACTTCACTTGCTGTGTAAATACACGAACTGGACAGGCACACGCTGGATGCTTCTGAAAATAATTTAAATACAATGTTTAAGATATATGCGATGCTTTCCAGAGGGGGGCACGTGGAGGTTGACCTAATAAGGTATGTTGCTAGCAATGGGGCTGCTATTACTAACAATCCCTTTCTCCCTGATGTGATTTTTTTTTATTGAGTGATAATGAAATGGTAACCCCGCCTGCGCTATCGGAATACGCTGGCGGGATACCAGTGAGGGGTGACAGATAGGAATGAAAAGGCAAAAAGACAAAAAGTCAGTTAGCCCAGCGCGATGAATTCTACTGGAATTAACCACGACGGTTTCCAGGGGGAACCACGTGAAAGTCGACCTGATAAGGTTGATTGCTAGCAATGGGTCAATTAGGTTCCATTACTAACAATCCCTTCCTCCTCCCCTCTGATGTGAATTTAGGTGAAGTAAAATTAAACGTGAAGTGAGTTGCGAAATAAGTTCGCAACTGTATAGAATAGAATAGAATAGATGGTCGTTGTAGGCATACAATATTATTGCCCTAGCAGAACACATAACGGCCCTACGAATCGGCGACAGATGTCTTAATGCGAGCTATAAAAGCAATTGCCGAGTTGGGTGCGTCCGCCTACTCCCTCCTCCTATTTTCCATTGTTTATTTCAATATCAACGAGATACACTTAGAGGGCCTCGATGACCTTACTAATATAACAAATTTGTGACTAGATAAGTAAAATAAAAGTAAATATAAAAGTAAAAATAATACTTTTTTAAAATTTGTCTGCTTGTCTGATGAACCTTGACTTCGGCTTGTTAGTCTAGTGATTTAATACACTACATTACGAGTACTTTCCAATGGTTTTGATCCCCGCACCTTACAAATAATTGTATGTATGAGTATGTGCTTGTATGGGTCTGGGTGTTTTTTATGTATAACATGTATATACATATCATCATCATAATCTCAACCATTGTCTGTCCACTACTTAACATAGGCCTCCCCCATAGACTGTCATAAGGAACGGTAAAAGTGCATTTGCATATGTATGTACATATTCAAAAAATATATTTAATTATATTTATTATTTGTCTAGTACACAATAGTAAAAGTTTTGCTTAGATAAGAACTAGATGGCGCTGTGTTACATTTCCAGTATTTTTTTAATGACAAATAAATACGTATATCTATTTCCTTACCTTTTGGTTCTGGTTGATAACAGGGCGGTACTGGTAGGTAAGAAGGGCCTCTCATAGCAAGAAGGAGGGATGTGGTGAGAAGCACGGCTAGAAGAAGGGCAGCTATCAGGATCAAAAGCACCCGCTCCAACTTCGTACGCTGGTGCCATCCTATGAACGACACGCCCTGGAATAGAATTACACTATTTTATTAAACTTTTACATAAAAAATGTGATAATTTTTAAAGTAGATATGTAATTGGATTTAAATATCGATAATATATAATACGTTAAATATTTTGAACACCCTTTTTTATGATTCTATCGTCCAATGTACAATACAATTGCAGCTGAGAAGAATGACCAAAAAGAAACTCAGGTGTTGATTTTTTTTTTCAAAGAATATATATATATATATATATATATATATATATATATATATATATATATATATATATATATATATATATATATATATATATATATATATATATTTAATTTTAAAATTTAATGAAAATGTAATCGAGTTTTATTAAAAATATTACAGAGCCGAACTCTCTCTAAAGAAGATCAGTAAAATTAGAACAATCAATTGATTAGTTTTTTTTTTTTTTTTATAACATATAACATGTTTTGATTATAATCGGGTCAGTTATTTGTTTATTTCTATGAAATAGATTATAGTAACCTATAATAGTTTACAAAAGTTAAACATCTATCACTTTTCTAGCGCTTCTGCGTAAATCGATATATATATAAAAAAAAGTAGCTCTTTAGTTCTTGTTAGCCGTATGTCGATTTATGTTTATTACCTACACGGTTGATTGATCATGCAATTAATTTATAAGTCGAAAACGTCAGCTGTTTCCTTGTGGCCAGAAAAATTTCAATAGCGTGTGCTCTATAGTGATTTGGAGCTAAAAATACAGTGAGTGTAGAAAGTATTCGTACACCTAGGGTTGTAATAAAAAAAATACGAATTTGATAGACTTTCTTTTATTTATCTAATTTAAATCAATACTATTAAATATTTTAACATTCCCGCACTTTATTTATGATAATTTTTGTTTTTTAATAAAAAAAATTATACAACATAAAAATATTTTTACGTTAACTAAGCAAATAATGACAAACAAAAAGTATTCGTACACTTATAAAATTTATAAGTAAATGAATATAAAAAAAATATTTTGTTGGACTACCGTTAGCATTGATGATAGTTTGGAGTCTCTGCGGCATCGAATCAACTAGTTTGAAAATATAAGAAGACGGTATCAATGCCCATTCTTCGCGAAGCGCAATTTTTAGTGTTTCTTTACTCGAAATTGGTCGATTTCGAATTTTATTATCGAGATAATCCCACACATGCTCTATAATATTAATATCAGGTGATTGAGGAGGAATCTCTAGGTATTTTGGAGCGTTAAACAGGATCCATGCTTTAGTATTCCATGCTTTATGTTTAGGGTCATTATCTTGTAAAAATATCCAATTATTGTTAAAACCCATTTGAGCTGCACTAGAGAGAAGATTCTCTTTTAAAATATTAATATACGTTTTGTAATCCCTAATTCCATCAATAAATGCAAGTTTTCCCACCCCAAAAGCACTCATGCAACCCCATACAAATACTGACCCACCACCGTGTTTTACCGTTGGACATAAATTTTCTTTCTTATATTCCATATTAGGTTTTTTCCATACCATATGATGTCCATCCGATTTGAAAATATTATATTTTGATTCATCTGAGTAAATAACAGTTTGCCAAAAATGATTTTTTTCATTAATATATTTTTTTGCGAATTCTAATCTTTTTTTTCTATTAATATCATTTACCCAATACTTTTTACGCGCAGTTCTTCCATGATAATCGTTACTACGTAATACGTTCCGAACGGTACTGACAGAAATATGGCAATCATTGATATTATTAATTTCTTGTAACACTCGAGGGGCACTAATTTTTGGATTTTTTTTTTTACACAATTTAAAATTTTCCGATCCAATCGAGGCGTGATTTTTGATGGACGCCCCACCTCTGGGTTTGTTTTTTAGTGTTTTAGTAATAGAAAACCGATCAATTACAGTCTGTACGGTTGAACGTGGTCTATTGACAAATTTTGCAATTTCACATAATGATTTGCATTGATTATGCAAATTAATAATTATTTTTCTCTCCTGTTCACTCGTTTTTTTTGCTTTACGACCCATTTTTGTAACTAAACACGTCTATACTTGTCACGAGTGCAACTAAAACGTCTAATATCTATACCTACGTATTAAAATTTGGCATTGTAGGCATATGAAAAATTCAATTGATTAAATGATTTATACAGAATTTCATTTAAAAAAGAATGAATGTACGAATACTTTTTGTTTGTCATTATTTGCTTAGTTAACGTTAAACTATTTTTATGTTGTATATTTTTTTTTTTTAAAAACTAAAATTATCATAAACAAAGTGCGGGAATGTTAAACTATTTAACAGTATTGATTTAAATTAAATAAATAGAGGAAAATCTATCAAATTCGTATTTTTTTTATTACAACCCTAGGTGTACGAATACTTTTTACACTCACTGTATTTATATTCACATCAGAGGATCGTCACTTTTACACGAATATAAATTATAGATAATAAAATTTATACATGTACCCCCCCCCCCCCTTATTCATAAAGCCTGAATCCTTCTACAAACCAATTTTAACTATTACACTGATTTGTCTCTATCAAATTGGTAATATAGTATAAAAGAAAGAGACAAAACATTGCAATAGCTAAAAAAGGTTTATGAGTTGGACATTTTTATAATAAAGGAATATAAAATATAATCTACATAATTGTAAATATATACTTTATACTTAGATTATATAGATAGAGCATCGAACCTCAAAAATGGGTAAAATTTTTGTCAGTTAATTGCTAAATTGTTGTATATACTTACGCATAAAATGTATCTTGACGTATTATTTAATAAATAAAATTAATGTTTACGCATTAAAAAGATGCAGAAATTATAAGACAAAATAAATATAGAAGTTATAATGAAAACACTCATAACTATTTATCACGCAAAATTGTATGAAAAAGTTAATCAGTTTTTCTCTTATTATGATTATATTATGGAGACACTATCTATATAATCTAAGACTTTATATTAATAAAAAAAATATAATATACTTTTTATTCTGCACATAACGTAAACAATTAAACGTCGTTTTTTCTTGTAATTACAAATAAAATCTTATTATAATAATAATTATACAATTATCTACAAAAATAAATATCCCTTTGTACCGCCATAATTATACAGGGGAAAATGGAAATCGTTAGCACTCTATAAATGGAGTGTTCTATTTATATTTACTGGGTACAGAGGAATAACACCTGAGTCCTCAGGAATGGCAACGCATGGGGGGTATCATGGGCTAAACAGTATACTCTGTTATGTCCATGGTACTGCTCATGTTTATAGGCGATGGTTACTACTTTTTATCAGGTGGACCGTCAGCTTGTTTGCCATTCTAAGTTGTATAAAAAAATAAAATAAAAAAAAAACCAAAGAAACATGGGTCGAAAAATATTTTGACGCTCCTAAACATTTGATAGGTTGCGATGTGCGATCTAGAGAGGGGCCAACTAGATTTTTTTCTAACTCGATTTACCCGAGTTAATACGATGTCTAACTCGAATTGGAACTCTACTCATAGTTGACTCGACTCGGTACCTACTTGCGACGTTTAAACCAAGCAGTAGATCTAATACTTACTCCGTATTAACAAAGTAGTTTGTATTAACTGAAGAATATAATTTTGTAAATATATTTAAAAAAAAACCTTTAGTCTTGGTAAAATGACTACCTATGAATATAGTAAATTATACCTATTATCATAGTAAAATAAGTGTTAAGTAAACCAACAAAACTTACATCTCATTGAGTAGTATATAACTAAACTGTAGATAAAAAAAGAATAATGAGTCTACTGGGAAAGGCTTATCCAGAGCCAGGGGACTACAGATATCTTAAACCGCGGGATATCGTTAAGGTAATACACAGGATCTATAAAATAATGGTATAAGGCAGGGGGAAGCACAAAAGATCCCGATGGGTCGACGTGTAATGGCTTAGCTGACCCCACATGCGAATAAAAGATATCCTGTAGAAACTTTCAAAGTATGTTTGAATTTAACCGACAGTTTTGTTAGGTATTGACACAGACCATTTGTTGTTCAAAACCCTTTCAAGAGAAATGTTGTTTTTGATATGTATAGAGATAGTCTAAACAAGCCAAAACTAAAACAATACATGTTAGCAATCAGAGATAACAATCGTGCCGTGTTCTAAATTGAAATTATCGCCATCTATTGATATTAAAATAAACTAGTCGTGGTAAGGTACTTATTTATTCCTAAAATTTTGAGTGCCTGTTTAATGTTATATTTATTTAAACAGGCAATTTATTATATATATTTGAGAAAATTTCAAAAAAAAAAAATAAGAAGGAATCCTCTTATAACAATTATACCCTCTTTTATCGGCTACATACAACTACTTTAAAACAAAGAGAAAATTGTCTATACTTATTCTTTACTAGTATTTATTTTGGAACTAAAATTTCTACATAAATATTTACAATTTCCACATAATAAAACATAGAATTATTTTTTTACTAACACAACTATGGAAACTTATTTATAAAATCGTCAAACCACTATTAAACCAATTTTGGCTAGTGAACTGTTTTGTCTCTTTCTTCTACATTAAATTCTCAATTTGAAAGAAAGTAACAAAATAGTGCAATTATTAATATAGGTTTTAGTTTTTATGTATAAGAGAATTTTTTTATACACAATAATGGTATGGAACACCGCCTGCGCTAACGGTGGACACTGGTTAGGTACCAATGAGTGATGATTGATGAAAAGGCAAGTCAGTAAGCCCAATGTGATGAATTTACTTGGAACTGAGCACGATAGTTTTCAACGAGATCCACGGTTCGTCGCACTGACAGGGTATATTGCTAGCAATGAAACTACTGTATAAGAGGGTTAGGATAAACTAAATTTTTACGTTTCTCTATACGCTAACCGCACACAACAGACGAGATATAATATATGTTTATTTAAACCGCTTTCATAATAAAAACCATTTGAAATACAGTAAAATAGTAAACGAATACTAT